CCAAAAGATTATTTGGCAGTTTTTTGATAGAAATCCCGTTTTAACCAGTCAACAAGTTTTATTTAGTAAATATTACAAATTTTTTATGAAACATTTTTACCTTTATTTAAGCAACTTTTATTTTATATTTAGAAATGCTAGCCAAGCAGCTTTATTTAACTCTGGAAAAGAAGAACTATCCTATAAGAGCCATGAAGTTCCTTCATTCAGTGGGATAGCAATCCCAACCTACAGTACCCAAACAGCTCCCTTATATAGTCTCACACCCACTTCAATGCTCAGTGTTACAGCTGCTCAGACCTGCAAGATATTTTCTTCAGAAGCATCAAGTTTTCCAGTTGTGGCAGCTCTAAGCACTGTTACACTAGCTACTAGTGAATCTTCCGTGTTCTTTTCTCCTGCTTTTACTGAAGATCTCGATCTCTGCTCTACAGTTCCTCCCGGTTTATGTTCTAAAGAGTCCAGTACAACTCCAGGTTTTGTTTCTGCAGCAGCTTCTAATAGTGTTCCACCCAGTTTTTTTAGTCAGCAGAGGTAAAAAGCTTTTTTTTCACAATTCAAAATATAAACCCCTGTAATTGATTTTTATAGCTGAGACGCTTGTTATTTTTTAACTCTCTAGACTTGCTTAAGTATCTTGAACAACTAAAAATAAAGATTAAAATAATCAAATCGGAGCAGAATCAATCCTGTATTAACCAATAACAATAATTTGGCCTGATATTCAAATGAAAATTGCACACACTAAGTTTTTATTCCTTATTTTGTGTTTTGTCTTTTTAAAGATCTCATTAAGGATGAATTTTGTTTCAGTGTGGAGCATTCATACTCGGTGGATAATTCAAAAACTTGGAAACGAAAACTGGATGAAGCTACTGAGAAGGGTTTAAAGTACCGAGAAAAATATTACAACTCCAACAAGAAACTAAAACGAGCCAAGGAGGCAATAATAAATTTGCAGCAAAAGTTATCTGAAGCTTATGAAAAGTTCAACATCGATCAAGAGAAGCAGAATCACATATCAAAAGCAGCTGATCTAATACCTTTAAAGCTTTTAAAGAAAAGCTTGGACAATCAGCGTGATTATGACGAATCCATTCGCAAATTTGCATTGACGTTGCATTTTTATTCAGCAAAAGCATATAAGTTTGTACGCGAGCAGTTCAATAAGGCGCTTCCTCATGAAAATACAATTTATAAGTGGTGTTGTAAGTTGAATGGCAAACCTGGATTTACGGAAGAAAGTTTTAATTACATCAGAGAAACCATTGTTAAACACAAAGAACAGGGAAAAGAATTAGTGTTCTCTTTATCAATGGATGAAATGAAGTTACATCGCCATCTGTATTTTAATGGAAATGAAATTGTCGGAGGTGTAGATCTAGTGCTAGGAGCTGAAGATAATGAGCAGGAAGAAGCCACAGATGTTCTAGTGTTCATGCTTACATGTGTTAACTCAAGGTTTAAACTACCAATTGGTTATTTTTTAATAAAAAGCCTTACTGGAGAAGAGAGGGCTAATCTTGTCAATATATGTTTTGATAAACTTAACTCTATTGAAGCCCATGTGATGTCTCTTACATCTGATGGTCCTGCCTGTAATATCAGTATGGCAGGTATACTAGGAGTTAAGTTTCAGCCAGAATGTCCTCAACCCAAGTTGGCAAGAGCACTATCTGGGGAAAATATTGTATACATCCTTGATCCTGTTCACATGCTTAAGCTGGTTAGAAACACTTTTTGTGATCACAAAATTCTTAAGAAGGATGATAAAGTTATTTCCTGGCAATACATTGTTGAACTGTATAATCTCCAAGAACAGAGAGGTTTATATTTGTGTAACAAACTATCCAAGAATCTTGTTTATTATCAAAACCATCCCATGAAGGTAAAATATGCAGCCCAGTTGCTTTCTAATTCTGTTGCCAATGCTCTGGATTATGCTCGGGACGTTTTGAAGTTTAAACAATTTGAAGGAAGTGAGGAGACAAGTACGTTTATCAGAACTTTCAATTATTTGCTTGATATTCAAAACAGTTCATCAAAATTTGCGTCTGGCTGCAAATCTCCTTTAAACCCAGAAACAAGAGACAGAATATTCACCAGAATGGATGAGCTCTCAGCCTATGTTTTGGGTATTACAGACTCCCAAGGAAAACCTATTGTGACCTGCGGTCGTAAAACTGGGTTTTTTGGTAAGTAAATATTCAAATGAACTAAATATTTACCATGATAGAAAAATACTTAGGGAAAATTTTAAAATGATTTTTGATAACAGCTTTTTTATTTTTATTTTATATTATATTTCAGGGTTTCTTTCAAATGTGCAGGCCATCAAGCACATTTACTCTGTGTATGTAGAGAATGGACCTTTGGACTATCTTCTTGTGAATAAGGTTTCTCAAGACCATCTAGAGCACTTTTTTGGCAGGTGCGATTTTTATTTACTTAAAAATTGAATTGTTTTTGGGGTATAAAAATGTATTTTTGGCCCCTGAGTTTTCATTAGATTTTTCATGTTTTTTTTATCTCGTTGTATTTTACTTCTAAAATTATGATTTGATTTATACAGTCCATTCACAGCGGTACCATCAGTTTTGTCAGATATTAATTAGTTTTTCTTGTTTTTTTTTTTTATTAAAAGATTTATTATTATTATTTGTGGGTTTTCTTTAAAATTTATATGAGCATTTCTGCTCCAGTTAAACATTTCACAAATTGTCAGAATTAAACATTTTTTAAGCTTGAAAAACGAAAATAACAATTTCACACTTTTGATCAAATAAATATTTAAAGGGTATGGTTTCCTTGAAATACTGAGTTGGTTATCATCTTTAAGTAGGGATCACTTTATATTACAATATGACAGTCCTTTTTAGCTTTGATTTACTTAATCAAAAAATCATGACTTGGATAGGAACCCTATTACACTGTTAAACGGTAACAAACACATGCTTAAAATAATCTTGTTTTTAAGTGTGAGAGGATCACTTGGCTGCAACGACAATCCGACAGCAGTTCAATTCAGATCTTCCGACAAAAAGCTGTTGCTAGGAGGGAAGGGGGATGTTCATGTAGACAAATTCAACGTTATGCTTGAGGACGATGTTCAAGTCGTAGATTTATTCAAAACTATAGAAAAAACTAAATGTGATACATCTAATGACTTTAATTTTGATCTAGGTTTATCTCGATTCTCTTGAAAACACCTTTTCCCTAATTAAACATTAGAAAGTCGGTGCACAGTGCGCTTTGCAGTAAATAACTAACTTTTGTGAGAAAAATATTTAATAATTAAAAGCTTGCAAGCTCTAGTTAAATTTATTTTCCTCGATCTTAAAAATCATTCACTCATCCCTGTCATCCAACTAAAGAATTTAAAAGTCTAAAAAAGATTTGATACCTCAATACATTTTTATGGTAAATTGCAGTAATAAAGGCGACTTCCTTTTATTGAACTTTCAGATATTTAGAATAATGCCAAATTCAATTATTAATATTTTCTTTAAGTTAATGAGATAATCCTAGATGATATAAACATTGATTTTGATAAATATGATTGTGATGTTGTTGAATATATCAGTGGTTTTGTTGTTAAAAGTGTTGGCATTCACCTATCTTGTAATATTTGTTTTAAATTTGCTCTAAAGCATGCCAGCGACAAATACACTAAAAATAATTTGATAAATTTCAAAGAAAAATACTGCCTAAATCATCCTCAAAAAGAAATTGTGGACATTTGTAAATACGCAGAAGCAGAGCTTAAAACCTCCCTAAATTTTGAAAATTGCCTGAAAAAATTGTTTTTTTCAGAAAATGACTCAAAAAGTTGTCAATCAATTTACATTCAGATGTCCAAATTTTTTTGATCAAATGTATCTTGTCCCTGGGCATGACCCAGAACACCGTTATAATCTTCTAGTAAAACTTGTAAAAAAATATCTTGCCATAAGAGTTCATAAATTTATCAAAAATCATAATGTAGAAACAAAAAAAAAAGTCAGGAAGAAGCTTACAAAGCTTGTTCATTTTAGAAATGAATAAATGATATTTAATGATGTGCTTGTATTCTTTACTTAAAGACACTTTTTGTTTTGTTTTTAAATTATTCTTTAGATTTTTGGTGTAAAGACACTGGTTATCCAAACAAACATGGGAATTATACGTAAATGATAAACAGACAAAAGATTAAATAAAGAAAATTAGTCTTGGGCTTTCCAAAATGTGGTAATTTGGTATGCAATTTTCACATATTTCCACTTATTTCAGTTTTCAATTTGTTTAAAAAATGATATAGGAAACTTTCTATTTTTGAAGATACATAAAAGGTAAATTATTTTGAATTCTTAGCTTTTAAAAGGAAAAATAACCTCAGATAGGTCATTGTAAATCAAATGAAGATTCCTAATTCAATATTTGTTGGGACACTCGAGTAACCGAGTATATATACTAGAGTTTAGTTAATAAAGGTTTTTAATTATAATTTTACAAAATCGAAAATTTTCTTTTTATTCTTATTCTGGTTTTTTAGCTTTATGATAGTAGCTAAGGGCGCTGCACAAACTTAGTTTCTAATTTGCAAAAAAAGATTGAGATAGCCCCCTACTGTACGCCCACTGTGCATCTTGTACAAAAAGGTTCCGGCATTGAGCATTTTCAAACGACGCGTACCGGCTTATCAGACGCCCGTACGCGTCAACCCTGCTTCCTGTCTAGTTGTTCCATGCGCACAAAGGAACAACACCCTTAACTTTCTAATCCTTTTATCTTAGCATGCTAATGGTGTAAATTATTGATTTTTAAAACTATTACTTGATCCAGCAGAATAACAAAGCTTTACAACATCTAGATTTTAGTTGCAAAGGTATAGACTATAGGGATCACAAAATTAAAAATTTAAGGAGAGTGATCGTTATTCATAAGTATTTACAAAGTTACATGATCATCTGAAGATCAAATTTTGATCATTTTATTTCTAATGTTTTAATTCTTCATTAAAATCCCATTGTTTGTTGTTTACCCTGTAGTTCTTACCTGCTCTCTTTATGAAGAGTTAAGAGAGTGGTTGCACCTCCAAAACTATGTCCAGCTGCTACAGGTTCACTATGATCTATCTGATCCTCAAACATGCTTAGATCATCAGAATCCTCAAGTATATTCAGTACTTCAGTAGTATCTACAATATCAAACATGATCAGATCATCAGAATCCTCAAGTATATTCAGTACTTCAGTAGTATCTACAATATCAAACATGATAAGATCATCAGAATCCTCAAGTATATTCAGTATTCCATCACCAACCATTTCAAAACTTGGTTTATCTAATATCTATTTATACCTGAGCTGAGATTGATCATAAGGTCCAATGTTCTCTGCATCTCGGAGCAGCGCTGCTGCAACTGCTGATTACGGGCCGCATACTCCTTGTCCTAGGGTACATACTAGTTCAGATCTCTTTTTTATAGGGACTGTCCTTGTAAATTCAAGTGACCCTCCAAATTAAGAGGGGCATGTCCGATTTACGCCGGTACCCTTTTCAACTTTATCTAGGCAAAATTGTAGAAGATACCATAGCTTTTTTGGCTTAAAATGTGTTTAATTCTGACAATTCCTTCCATTTGTCTGTAGCAGAAATGCGAAAGTTGCTTTATTGAGGAATCCCAAATGATAATTATCAATTTTTAGAGAGAAGATGATGGATATCTAATGTATGTTTGACCAACCAAGACTTTTAAGGGTACTGTTGTGAATCAGGTTCACCGATATCTTTAAAATGAGAGTCAATGGAAATTATGTCTTCAGTTCTTTTTAGATGGTGCTATAATCTATGAACCCTGAACAGTGGACTTCCCCCAGTGGAACTTTTAATTGGAAAGGAGTAAGTGCTTCATACGTAAAAAAAAAACATCGACCTTAGTAAGGTTAACTTAATTCGTAGCCCCAGCCGCAAACCACATAAAAAATTATAATATATTTCTAATATGTAAAATGAAAGAAATAAGCTGGATCCTTTTAATTATGGATCCATAAAATGAAACTTTAACAAGCAAAATAAAATAAATAGATATCAAATAAAAAAGCTTACCTGATCTGAGAGTTTTCTATGGGGAATCCATGTTTTCTTCTTGTCCTCTGTATAGTATGAGGACAAGCTGGAGGATCCATCCCTGTAAGTAAATAATGTCAAAAAAAAAATTTTTTACTTTTTTTCTCCTCTGTGATATCGGACAACTAGCTTTTCGGATTTAAAAAATAAAAATTCATGGTTCTAGGGACTTAATCAAAGAATGATTGTCTCCCCCACTTCAAACATTGACAACCTTTAATTGTTTTAAATCAACAATAGTGTTTTAAAAAAAATATATATCAAAAAGGATGATGAAAAAAAATGACTATGTGCCTACCTATGTTCAGTTGCTGCAACAATTAAACCATGGCTGGCTAGATCAGTACAAATCCTACTGTAGGCAAACCTAAAAACATGATTTTAAAAAACTTAGGAATTAAAGAATATTGATTAGATTTACTTTGGTTTTCTATGTTCCAGAAATTTTATCGTCCATAAAAATATTTCCGTCCGCGCATAACAGTTTTCATTTTCAAGATTAAGAACAAGAAGTAAACAAAAATGGACTCCCCAGATTGCCGTTGGAAGAAAGGACTAAACCCTTCTGTTCCACTCGGCCAACATACTTCACCCTTCACATACGCGCGCGTAGAGATAGGTCAAGACCAGGTGGTGCCCCATCTTAGGTTGTAGTAGGGTATACTTCTGGACTTCGGTTCAGCCTACACCTTGGTGATACTGCATCTTCGGATGTTCCTGACACGATTTAACCCAGCAAGATATGTAGTTCAGACAGGATTTAAAGGACTATTGGGAGGGGATAATATTAGTTTACATATGTGCCCACAAGAAGTCATGATGGACAAGATATGATGTACTCATTCATTTAATTTATATCAATAAAATTCAAGTCAACTTATATTCAGGTTCCAAAAAGTACACTTTTTAAAAACCACCTCACAACCTCCTACACAAATGTCATGATGCGATGCGCACCAAAAGATTAGAAGAAAAAAATTCCATTGTTATCTTTATGTTAAAAATATTTATGCAAATTCATTTTTCCTGATTAAGGAAAGTAACTAAATTCTCTCTTACCTATTGCAACCAAGCCCATGACTGAAAACTATTAAAGGCCACCTGAAACAAAAGTTTAAAGGGACTTCTGTATTTCGAATATCTTCCAGGGGTTTAAAGTGACTCTTCATTAATAGAGTGGAATATCTGATTCAAACCGAGAAACAATAAAAACGTTTTCCCTTAAAGTGTTCATTTCCAACATTTTATCCTTTCTTTGTCTCTAGAGCAAAATAAGCCGCCGCTTTAAAGGAAAGTTTCCATAATTGAAAATGATCAATTTTTACCCGAAAAATTTGGTTTTTATACATCATTGATCACTCACATAAGGATTTAAATTAAAGGGTACCGTTATAAATTGGACATGCCAATTTGTAAATGGAGGGTCCCTAGAAAGTACGTCTTCAGTCTCAATCAGTAAAATGATAAAAAAGCATGAACGAAATGCTTAAGAAGAAAAATAATATAATGAAACTAAAAAAAGGTGACTATAAAATTATTAACCTACTTTTTTTCCGTTGAGATTTGAACTCCTTTTAGTATAGGACAGTGCACTGTTCCGTTCAGCAATTTAAACACCTAGAAATATCAACATTAAGAAAAAGCTCGGCGCTTCTACAAGTACTCGGAGATACAGGGTGAGAGAGAGAAAATGGTAAACTAAAAACATTTTTGGGAAAAGAAATAAACGGAACAACAAGAAACGTTGAACGCCTGCATTAATTTTTTAAATCTGTATTAGCCTGAAAAATGGAGGTTTTTTACCTAACTGGATCCAGATTTTTCTATTGACAGCTTTAAATATACTCCTTAATAACAAGCCTGGTTAGCTGTTATTAAGTATCCGAACTCGTCGGAAAGACGTTATAAATTCTTTTGATTGAATCTGTTCTATGTGTAAGCATGAAGAGAGCTCAGAACAGTCAGGTTCTTATACAACTCTCTTCAGTTTCCAGAACTCTGTGTGAAATAACATGGTACTACACCCTACTTGGGAAAAAAAGAATAGTATAGTGCAGAGAAGGAGGGGTTTCTCTACGCTTCTCTTCCCCCTCCCTATTGCTTCTCAGAAACAAGGAAAATATAGAGACGGGAACTCTGTAAACCCTGGATAGAGACAGGAACTCTATAAACCCTGGATAGAGACAGGAACTCTGTAAACCCTGGATAGAGACGGAATTTCTGTAAACCCTGGATAGAGACGGGAACTCTGTAAACCCTGGATAGAGACGGAAACTCTGTAAACCCTGGATAGAGACGGGAACTCTAAACCCTGGATAGAGACGGAAACTCTGTAAACCCTGGATAGAGACGGGAACTCTGTAAACCCTGGATAGAGACGGAAACTCTGTAAACCCTGGATAGAGAAGGGAACTCTGTAAACCCTGGATAGAGACGGAAACTCTGTATACCCTGGATAGAGAAGGGAACTCTGTAAACCCTGGATAGAGACGGGAACTCTGTAAACCCCGGATAGAGACGGGAACTCTGTAAACCCTGGATAGAGACGGAAACTCTGTAAACCCTGGATAGAGAAGGGAACTCTGTAAACCCTGGATAGAGACGGGAACTCTGTAAACCCTGGATAGAGACAGGAACTCTATAAACCCTGGATAGAGACAGGAACTCTGTAAACCCTGGATGGAGAAGGGAACTCTGTAAACCCTGGATGGAGACGGGAACTCTGTAAACCCTGGATAGAGACGGGAACTCTGTAAACCCTGGATAGAGACGGAAACTCTGTAAACCCTGGATAGAGAAGGGAACTCTGTAAACCCTGGATAGAAACGGGAACTCTGTAAACTTATTTATTTATGTTTGAACCTGAACCTTCAATCAGTTGAGTCAGACATTCCTATCAAAACGGAAAACTTCAAATTAGCAAAAAAGAAGATACAAGTCAGAGAAAAATTGACTCCTCTTTTTAAAATTTTGTTAGAAATTATATTTAAAAATAAATTGTAAAAATAAGAAAAAGCAATAAAAATATAATAAAAACTAATGTAAATCCCACTTTGGCCGTGACACATTTTTGGAAAAACTAACAAAGTTTCGAAAAACGACAATGTAGCAATAGTAAACTAATGTGAAGTGTATTATTTGATACAGAAAATAACTTAATCAATTATTACCACAGCATTTATTGCAAATTCTTGAATAATCTCTTTAAGCTAAATTGCTTGCATCCAATATGCATCATGGGGGCAATGACCTTTCTCCAATCAAAGTACATTAACTCTTTTTAAAACTAACCTGCTTGCATCCAATATGCATCATGGGACATTAAGTCTTTTTAAAACGAACCTGCTTGCATCCAATATGCATCATGGGGGCAATGACCTTCATCTGATCAAAGTACATAAACTCTCCCCTAGGCGCCCAGCTCGGCCACTTTTCCAACATAATCTAATATCATAAATAATAAAAAAAAAATATTTTATTCAAACATGATAACATAATATTACATCCAAGCGCTAATCTACAAAACATGATCTTAATATCCACTGTGTTAACTTCTTTATTTCAATTTTAATTTCCGACGAATGGATGTCCATTGTCCTAGGGGAACTAGTTTAATCCTTTGTGTGACAAAAGATGAGAAAAACAATTTGTATTCCAATGATTCACAAATCACAATTGGAAGGTTATGGACATAAGAAATTTATATTGTTGATATCAGTGCAGGGGTGTTTATAACTCCATTTTTTTTCTTTCCCCCCCCCCCCCTAATTTTTTTTTGATTTCCTTCCCCAAATTCGATAAATAAAAAGACATCGTTTTTTATTATTCATATGCAGTGCATCCCTAAAATGATGCATTTTAAAGAGCATTAATGGCGCCTTTTTCTTTTCCCTTTTCCTTCCCCTTTCCCCTCCCCACCTCTTGGGTTTTTGATTTTTATTTTCCTCCGCCCAGGGGAGAGGGACAAAAAGGGTTTTAAACACCCCTGCATCGGTATACCGCCTATTTTGGGAAAACATCTGACTAACAAAAAAACTTTATTAATTTTTGGTTAATTTTTTTGAGTGACGACATTTTCCCACAAAACCTTATACTTTCTCCATTCCCCCCCCCCCCCCTCCCTAGAATTAAAAAATAGCCTTGTCTCAAATATTATTGTAGGGATTATAAAGATTAACAATATTGAACTAGTACCTGCATGAATTTAACAAATCCGACGAGATAATCATCATCAGCCCACACCGGCCACAGCTCAGACTAAACGTGAAAACTATTTTAAACATTTTTAACAAATTGGGAATTTCAAATTTTAATAATTTTTTAACAAAAATTAACATTTTGTAGTTGTAAGTGATAATACAGAAAATCATTTTTCCCCTATTCTACTTTACTGGTTACCCTGTGATTGCAGGAGTGGTAAAGTAATCCCCCCCCCCCCCCTCACAGGTTAAACAGCTCTGTCCCATCCTGCTGAAAGAGCAATTTTAATTTCTTCTTAATTTTTAACTCCTCAGCAAGTCTATTTACAGGATATTAATTAGAAAAATATAAAAATTTGTTTGTTTTTTAAAAGATCTGAATCTGCTGTTAATAATATTTGCGCAGTGAGGCAAAAGCAAAACAATTTTAAGGAATTTTATTTCTGAAAATAAATAATTTATTGGGAAAACCCTGTATCTCCTTTGTTTTATATAACTTCCCGAAAATTACCATGTTTATTGTTTCATTGACAGGATGGATCGATGGATAGTAAACACGGACATATACTCCACTAGTCGGATCTCCTGGAGTCATAATATCCTGAAATAAATCAATCAATATATTTATTGCAAGCAGCTAAGGGTGGTAATTATATTGTTGAATCAATCAATCAGTTCATTTTTGAATCATTAAAAAATTCATATTTTTTTGTGACTAGAAGCTATCGGAATCATTTTCAAAAATCAAATAATCAAATTATCAAATGATCAGTTAATTAATTAATTAATCAATCAAGCAATAAATAAATGAATGAATGAATTAATTCATTAATTAATAAATCAATCAATTAATCAACTGATCAATTAATCTATAAAGTCATTGAAGAATCTACTAACAAGCAGAAAGGCCGACATCAATCAGTACTGTATTGTACTTTCTGTCTAGACATCGTCAAGCATTATACCTAGGGGTTCTTGCGAAAAGGGGAAATCATTTCACGAAATTTTTTTCGCATTTGGTTCGCTCGTGAAATAAGAAATGAGAAAATTTCGCAAAAAATGGGAAAATTCGGGAAAAAGAAATGCAAAAATTTCGCGAAAAAACATGAAAATTTTCCCGAAAATAATTTCTTTCTCAAAAATTATTGATTATGATATAGTAAAACTTCTAATATGCTCTCAGAGCAGAGAATTCAACAAGTTCTATGCGCAACTAATTGTTGCAGCTACAACACGCGAAATTTTCCGTTCGCTGGAAACCCTTAAAACCTAATAAGGACATGGAACTTATAACAATCAATAAATCTGTGAAAATCATTAAATAAATAAATCAATCAATCAATCTACCTGATATCCCACCGCATAGGGCCCAGTGGGGAGAGGGAGATGTCCCGGCAAAACCGGTTCTTGACTCCGATTAAACAACGGCATTTTTTGAAGTTCTTTCTCGCTTCTTTTTAGTACATTCTGCAATATTGTGCAAAAATACATCTTGTGCGTCAACGTATTCCAGCGCAAACAAATACTGGGGGTTTACAATTTACATTGAACAAAAATATAATTGTATCTGAATTTAACAACCTTTTCGATTACAAAATATACAATTTACATGTTTTTTGATAACAGATTTTACATATTGAACAAATTTTCCTTTTACATAATTATATTTTGCGACTAGCTAAACAAGCTCGAGATTCTAATAAAGTATTAAGGTCCTATTTTCATCTTTATTTCTATTATTTTACTAAATATATTATTTTTCTTCAATATTTATGCATGAACCAGTTGAGTAGGCCTCAATAGTTAATTATCTAAACCAAGGTTTTTATTGACATTACTAATTTTAGGAACATGTATTTAATTACAAGGACTGTAAACCTAATTTCAAGTGACCTTCAATGCAACGGTACCCTTGAAACCTTTATGAGGAAGACATCGTTATTTTTTAGGTTGAATGCTGATAATTCTGAAAATTCTTATATAATCTGCAGTAGAAACGTTCAAGTCACTTTTGTGGAGAAATTTAAAATAAATAGTTTTTAAAATTATATTAAATAATGATATTTATTTCATACTTGATCCGACGGTTCCGACAAAGCAAGGGCTTCCGACATATCCGACAAAACAAGGGCTTCCGACAAATCCGACAAAGCAAGGGCTTCCGACGAATCTGACTTAACAAGGGCTTCCGACGAATCTGACAAAGCAAGGGCTTCCGACGGATCCCACAAAACAAGGGCTTCCGACAAATCCGACAAAGCAAGGGCTTCCGACGAATCTGACAAAGCAAGGGTTTCCGACAAATCCGACAAAGCAAGGGCTTCCGACAAATCCGACAAAGCAAGGGCTTCCGACGAATCTGACTAAGCAAGCGCTTCACTGTGAGTAGGGCATTGCCATTTTTGCATAGAGGATCAATTAAAATTACACTTAAATCCCTTTTTAAATGTTGCATATTATGCAGAAAATTAAACCTTTCAAATGACGTTAAATAAAATTGACCTTTTTTGGGGAGAAAAAATAATATTTTGAGTATTGACTTTTTAGGCATAAGTCTGGGCCACTTTATGTTTATTATTATTGACATTATTAATTATTTTTTATGCTGACGTTAAATTATATAAAATGCAAATGAACAGAAGGTTTGAACTTAAATGCATAAATTTCCGTTTGCAATGCTTAATACAGTAATAATCACAAAATACGGAATTTACTGACAATTAATCAATTTATCAATTAATCAAACCACTTTCAAGTTTACGATCGTCTTTCATCATTGATATTTTGTGATCATCGATTCATCAATCATATTTGTAAAATTAGATTATAAATTAAAACAAAACTGGAATGTTTGTGACCTTGACAATTATCTTTAATTCCTTAAAAGGAACAGTACATTTGCTTTCAAGGATCTCGCTGGATAAATGGAAATTGGAAATTTAACAAATTTCCATTAATTTTTTTTTAATTCAGAGCTGATAACTTTTGAATAGGAGACCGAGAAATGGACTAACTGACTCATCACGGGGAGATTAACTAAGCTGTATCTTAATTTTTTTTTAATTCAGAGCTGATAACTTTTGAATAGGAGACCGAGAAATGGACTCATTGACTCATCACGGGGAGATTATCTAAGCTTTTTCCTAATGGTCATATCCTCAGTATTTAAAGCTTTATGCCGAGGGGAGATCGGTTAATCTCCAAACAGGGTAGATAAGTTTTCATTTCTAGTATCATTTAGGAGTTATAAGCTCTGCTAGGATATCATTTACGAGTTATAAGCTCTGATAGGATATCATTTACGAGTTATAAGCTCTGATAGGATATTATTTCTTGTATCATTTACGAGTTATAAGCTCTGATAGGATATTATTTCTAGTATCATTTACGAGTTATAAGCTCTGATAGGATATTATTTCTAGTATCATTTACGAGTTATAAGCTCTGATAAGATATTATTTTAAAGAAGCGCCAAACAATTGTTGTAAAATTGTGACTAGGCCTTGTACAAGCAAATACCAACCAGTACTTTAATGCTGAACAGTGTACATAAAAACAAATTTTACTCGTACATTTAGTTTGGTTTGTCTTTGGTTCTATCTATGAATTGAATTTAGGATATTACAGTTAGAGTATTTAATAAAAAACATTTACTTTTCCTTTTTTTTCTTTTTTAGTGTTCTTCAGTGTTGAGAATCATAAGCCTGAGGCCGAATTTAAAAAATTTGAGCCGCAGCTTAAATTTGAGACGTGACTCAAATATGGTTGGTTCCACTTAAAAGTGTATTCAGTGTTTCAAGATTTAAGCCGGCGCTCAATTGAAACCAGTTTTTGGCGGATTTGAGACGCGGCTCAAATTCATTAAATTCGGACTCACGGACAATTTTTTAAGAACTTACCTTCTTCCCAATATTGGTTAGATTTTGACAGTTTAAGATAGGTGGGGTAATGTGTGCCAGCTATAGATAGGAATAGATATATGGGGGAAAGGGATGGAATATGTTTTTCTAGAGCTATACAAATAATAAAGGGTATAACATAGAGATGTGGAAAAGTTTCATTTACTAGATTTACAACAGTCCATAACATAGTATCACAACATATTTGGTTGATAAGCAGATTGGTGTGGTCAATTCACTTAGCATTGATATCTGATGCAGTGAGACCCAAAAAACTGAGAAAAAGGAAGATTTTAAATAGTTAAATGAACCTGAAACAAACAAATTGTGCCATGTTCACAGACCCAATTACTAAATGAATTGGTTTTCAACATCCTGCAAAAACTATTTGCTTTTTTAGCAAATACAACATAGAAATTGATTAAATGTCGTTTTCCTATTCTACAGTTTTCTGGACCCCACTGTAGAACCTCAAGTTTTCTCTCAGACTACATTCTCAGCTCGAATGATTTGAAGGGTGTATCTGTAAACCCGGAGTCCCGGAACGGGTTCTTATCCGGGTTGGGTTTGAGTGCCATCTCCGCCCAGTTGGAGTCGAACGGATCCTGGAGGATTCTCTGCTCCAGGTCCAGGGGTTGATAGTTCAGGCTGTAGGATCCTCTCTCTTCAAACAAGTTTTTTACACTTATTTTCAACATTTTAGATAATAAAAGAGTACTTGTTTACATCATAATATCAATTATATCTATAAAAATAAAAAAAATAATAATTGGAGAAAACTTAAGTTAAAATTAGGTGTCTCTGGGATATCTTCGTTTTCAAATAGGTTGCGTATTTGCTAAATATGATCTATTTAAACCTACTATTTCTATACAAAATTGTATATATATATATAGAATTTTCTTATAAAGACACAGTTTTATATCAATTTCTCGAGACGGACACATCAGATATAACTTTCAAAGGTCGCGATCAAGAGCTGAAGTGATTAGCTTTCAGCCTATACCCCCTTTCATTTTATCTTTAGAGTCCCATAAATAATGTTTTTGGTGAAACTTGTCTGATTCCTATATGTTTTGATGCTCTTTTATCAGTCCAGGATGTTTCAGATTCTATTTGTGAGTTGGGTCTCGGACTTCTACTGGAGGAACTACTACTAGCTCTGCAATACATTTTAATTCAATTTTTACTTTTAATTTTGCCATTTTTTACTCCTATAATGCTGGGGGGGGGGGGGGTTTTCCCTTCCCCCCCCCCCCCCCCCCCGTTTTTTTTTTTTTTTTTTTTTTTTTCCTTTAGTGGGGGGGGGGGGGGGGGTGTTTTCCATTCCCCCCCCCCCCCCCTGTAGTTTTTTCTAAATAACTTTCAGTAAACAAATTTTGCAGAACAAATTTATTTTTGATGCATAGGGTAGGTTGGTTGACAGTCCGAACGTCGGGTTGGAGTTTCAAAAAATCAGAAATGGTCAATAACTATTTTTTTAATTCTACAATTTAAAAATGGATGTAATAACATAAGTCACATGTTAATATTTGTCAAAAGTAAAAATATCTATTTTTAAATATTTTCGAAGTTCTTTTTGACCATTTTTAAAAATCCTCCCTATCACCCTCACCATTAAAGATAGAGGTATACATTTTTTTATGAGCAGGCCTTAAAAAGTTGGACTAGGGACATGTGTCACACTCCCCTATCTCAACTCTAAGGGCAAAATAAGGGCAAAATCACAGCCACCCCCGCCCCCCTTTCTATATAAGATAAAAATGGCCCAGCTGGGAAAGGGTTAATCCATCACTACCTTCTGGCCAATCAAAATATTATCTCATATATTAACAAAGGAGAATTGCATAAGACGATATTCCCACAGGGTGTTCAGAAAAACGGTTGATTGGCCTGAGAGCCTCAATTATTGACCGATATTTCCGCTTTTTAGGAGATTTTTTTTTTAACTCTCAACATAATCAAACATTGTACGTAAAAGGCTAAAAACACATTTTGATTAGCTTTGAAAATTCTGACCGATTATTTTGGAGACTCTTGCAAACGTTAAAGATATATAAAGAACAATACTTACTTTTACATTTTTTTTAAAAATGACATTAAGAAAGTTGAAAAAAAGTAAACTTTATTTTAACAACATGAAATATATAAACAACAAATAATATTTGAAGTTACTCTGAATTAAGTAAATACGAGCCCGTTTCAAAGGATTGGATAGAATTCCTTCAGTTCCTCAAAATTGAAAATAATTAAGATTCTGTTTCTAGGGTACTGTAGTAAATCAGACATGCCACTATAAATAACGTCTTCAGTCCCTTTAATGTTACCTGAGAATTGGTTGATCCGGAACATTATCCCAGGGGTTAAATCCATCAGGGGATTTCTCTTCCAGGGTTTGAAGAGTATCCAGAGGAATCCGACCCAACCTTTACACAGATAGATTCAGGTTTAAGAGGCAGTGCCACTCATTCACCCTTTCTCGTTAAAACAGTTTTAGGGTCGACATGCATATATTTTCAGGAAAAAGAAAACAAATTTTACGAGCATTCCAACAAAAAAAACTTATAGCTTTATAAAAAAAATGTTGAAGAACAAATATCCCCGAATGACCACCTTTCTTTTGTTACAAAAAAAAATTCTAAAAAGTTCAGAATCAGCACCAATTTTGAGCAAACTCGAAAAATTACATTTTTTATTGAAATTTTTTTTTTAAATATGTCTACCTGAAATTTTTTCTGAACTTTTATAAAATATGAATTATGCCATGCCCAGTGCAGGGGCTGGGGTAATTCAATATAAAAGATAAAGATTAATAAAACATGTTTCCCAAATTCAGAGAGAAAAAAATCTAAAAATACAAAACAAAAAAGAGGAGGCAAGGAGCGGAGGGGGGGGGGGAGATCACTTTTCGGTACCCCTGTTTTTACCTGAAGGTAGGAGAAAAGCTACTTTCAAACTCAGCCAGAGAGGTTCTAGAGGTCGTGGAGTTGTTAGAGGACAGTTCACCAGGATACAGAGGCTGTTTGAGGATAGGACTAGGACCTCCGGATACCAGGCAGGGGGTTGAATGATTGGAATCTAGGTAAATATTCCATATTTTTTTTAACAAATAAAAAGGGACTGTAGATGAAACTTTATTTGCGGATTCGCTTTACCGATTCAAAACTATAACATGAAGCGTAAGGAAAACATTGTTTTTTTTTCCAAAGTCTTCTGTCAATTTCTTTAGCTGTCTCCACTTTATAAAACCGCAGTCCAAGGCATTTTTATACACTCAAACATTATCAATTTTAAGCTATAAAACAAGGATATTTCAGGCAAATGACGAATAAGTAAAGGGGGTTGCTTATGACTTATGAGAATGAGATATGCAAGAAGCCCCATGTTGAGCAACCCAGACCGGAAATTTACTTCCCCTCCCCATAATTAAAGAAATGTTTCGTTATTTATGTGAAAATGTAAGACAAAGTTGCAGGTCTTCTTGCAAGCAGAGGGGAAAAGCAGTGAAAGTTTTCAAGCTTTTATTCATACTCATTCACTTTACCTGAAGCACACATATTTTCTAGGATTTCCAACGCAAGTAGATTTTACTTGCGCGCAAGTGCAGGCCCTATAATTCTCGCGCAATTCCGCGCAATACGAGAACAGTTGCGCGTAATTCCGCGCAACAGAATTCCGATTGTTAACAGTAACATTATGATATCGATTAATGGAAATTACCTGAATTATTTGTGATATTCGGACTCAGAGTTTCATCCGCTAGAGTTCCTCCAGATTTATTAAACAGACTAGGACTAGTAGAGGATCCTTTAGGAAAACCTGAGGCTGAAGGTTTACCGGAGGCCGGTATGGGAGTCAGGATTGGAGAAGGAAGGTTTGGAGGACAGTGTAGAGGTTCTGTGAGTAGAGAAGGCTGGAGGTTTAGTTGCTCCATGAGGTTGACAGGCAGGGAGACAGGACCGGTCCCAGGTTGACTTGTAAAGAATGGATCTTCATGATTAGGGTCCTCCTGTTAGAACAGAATGAAACGTAACCTCCATTTGACAATATGGTCAGGATTCACCCATTTTACTTTAATTGACAGTTAACGGCCCTGTGCGATAATTAAGGAAACAAGAGGTGGTGGGGGGTATTTTGTTGAAAAATTATAAGTTGGATATCAAAAGGCAGATTTTTCATCTTTTTTAACTTTGATACACCAACATCAGCGAAAAAATAACCTTAACATAATTTAGTGTAAAATATATACGCCCCTGGTACATCTTGCTTTGCAAAGTTTTCTTTAAACATTCGTTGATTTTTATCAAAATAAAAATCGAGTATGTAATAATAAAAACTTGATTCAACCCACGGTAATAACCAGAAAATTGTGGAACAATTATCGTCTTAATTTTTATCTTCTGAAAATTATGAAGTTTAGCTAGATGAAGAATATTATTCTAAATAGTTTTATTGGTAAAACAGTCTTAGAATTATAATTACTAATTAGTCACACTATTTTCAAGTTACTTGAAGTACGAATATCTACTTTTTCCTTTTGAAAACCATTTATATCCCTTATTCAGCGAAATAAGCCATTCTTGATAATAATTTCCGTCCATAGACGGTTGTTTTCAGATTGGGACTCTATAGAATGATTGATGGTTGATCATTTATAATTATTATTGCATAATTGGGAAAAAGGTTTTCTAAATGGGGCGAGATTGATTTTTCAAGAAAATATTTACCCCGGAGGATTTATTAAGTTTTTTAGTTTCCTGAATTGGTAAACAAGAGAGAGGGATTCCAGGGGGTAGAGAGAATATCTGAGATCGTCTGAACGAATAAAATTTATGAATATTTTTTAATGATTTCAAAGGTTTATAAATTTGACAGTAAATATTATGAAATTGTGATCTTTATGATTAACTTCACTCTCTTAAAAAATCCAACTTTAGTTTTCAAAGGTTAAAAACTGGGACATCCAACTAAAAATGTTCGTACTTTTGCATGTTAGACACGTTTTATTTTATAGATTTAAAAAATGGTTTAAATGGATTTAAAAAGTGGTTTTAATGAATTTAAAAAAATAGCTGGTCGAATAAAATTATTTTGATTAGATAACAAGTCGAGTTTTTTTTATTTGGAAAACTCTCAAGGCCTACAGAAAACTCCTTATAATTTTCAAAACGGCTAAAGAAGAAACATTTTAAAAAGAAAATCATCACCGTTCTGCAGTAACAGCGCTGTTTGGTCTGGTGACTACAGTAGACTGTTCCAGGCTCTGGTTCTGATACTGGTTCTGGGTCTCAGATACAGTATAGTTCTGTTGTCTGATAAGCGTTGAGGGCAGCTGCTCCAACCTAGAGCAGTAAAGGGACTGTAAACGTAATTTCAAGTTTAATAGAGTGGCATGTCCGATTCATAAAACATAAAAAGCTTTATTTAGTGAAGAAATTTTCACTTCTTTTCACGGGGGGAAGAGTGATACGAAACTTCGTAATGATGTTAGCAAGGAGATCCTTGACTAACAGGTATGAGTTGTTAACTCATAGCTTGTCTTTGAATCAGACATTTTTCTGAAAAAGCTTAAGAAAACATGAGAAAAAGGGAAAATTGAGGAAAAGTTATTCTTCCCAATTGTTTTTTATTTTTGTCAAAACAAACTCTATTGGTCAAGGTAAATCTCCTTTTTGTGTTACCTTAGAGAACTTTGACGCTTAAACGGTGTGACCCCGGCAAGTTGACCCAAACCACGCATTGACGCCTGGCGCAGGTACATCAGGTTAGAGGCCTAGAGTCAGGGGTTCATCTAGACATTTTGCGGCGGGTTCAGAGGGAAATGATTTTTGATGATGGAAAATCAGACAAGTTTTTCATTATGAAATTTCATTTATTTTCCCCAAATCAGCGAATAAACCCCTAAAAAAATTCCGCTTTCCAATATAGATGACATCTGGGGGGAAAAACTTATGTTCAAAATAGAGGGGGGAAGAAAAAATGTTTCGAGAAGATATACACCCCTAGGCAGGTACATTGTGATACTTTGTCCTAGAATTATGCAAGATTAAACTAGTCAGATATTTTTGGACTAAGATACTGTAGGGCAAATTTTATGGACTTCAATGCTGATTTGGCGGGTTTTCCTGACACTATTTATGGTAGGTTTTTTTTATTTAGATGCTAGTTGTGACATGTTTTAAGTGACTAAATGTTGTTAAGAGCCGTGTTTAGGTTGTGATGGGTGAATAATGTTTAGTGATCCCCCAGACTAGTCCTCGCTAGATAAACCCCTTCCTTAGGTCGAGCTACAGCGTGGGGGTTAGCTGGAGGTTCGACAGGAGCAGGAGGAGCTGGAGCACCAGGTTTAAACACCTGGGGATCCTGGAGCCGATCTTTTATCGATCCTTGCTGGAAAGATCCAAACCTAGACAAGAAAAGACAAATGTATTATTTAAAGAGTGATTATTATAAATTACACCATTTTCCAAATTCTTCTAATGAATCATACCAACTTGGGGGGGGGGGTCTTCAAAAGGGGGGGGATGATTTTCAAGAAAATACATACCCCTGTTTCCCCCAAAAATGTATCTATTTTTCCCTAAAAGTCATTTATTTCCCCTAGTTCTGCGAAGAAACCCGTACAACAATACCATAAAATTAGTATAATCATAGCTGACTTCTGGAGGAAAAAAATTTCAAGCGGAGGAGGGAATATTTTTTGAAGAAAATATACACCCTGTATTATTAAATGAAAGAATTTTTTTTTTTTTACCTGACGAACGTATTATCCTTCTTATTGTAATGAAACGCCACTGGATCCTAGAAGATATGATTGCCTCCATGAAAATGTGTATGGAAAAATTAGGGGGAGGGGCACGATTAATGTGACTCAGCATAATTATTACTACTGATGGACGGGTGATTAGTATGGTTCGATTATTTCTGATAATTAATGTGGCTCGAAAGCAAGATTTATGTGGCTTGGACTAATTCAATATTTTGGACGCAGGAAGTCTGATAACTATTAGTAAGAGCACTAACCTTCTCCCTCTGTTGTTTCTTCTCAAGGCAGATGGCAAAGGCACAACCGACCGCGTGACTAATCCTCTCTCCACTATCCCCCACGGACAGGAACCCATGGCACATCCATCTGTACAAAAATGTAATTGAAAATTTTAGATATTTTTTAGGAACATGATTTCATTACCGAACTTCACCCTCCACGAAAATGCTTTTGAAAATTGATCAGAAAGGGAAAAAGAAACTAGGTTGAAGAAAAATTAAAAGATTAGAACTTTTAAGAAAGAAACTGATTTTACAAAGTGATTGTCACAATAATACGGACACCAAATAAAGTATTAAAAGGGGGGAGTTTTTTCGATATGAATGTGGTAAAATCCTCTAGTAGGACCCATAAAACTGAGAATAGGAAGACGACTGATATAAAAAATATATCAATGAAACACATCAATTAAACAGTTTCCATAAAAAAGTTGAAATTTACATTTACTGCTTAATAACAACTTCAATAAGAAATAAGATTGCTGAAATGTCGACTTCCTTTTCCAAACTTTTATGGGGGTCACTGTACCTTTTAGTAGTTCCATCTCGACAAATATAACTAAACCCTTTCTCATAGTATCGATCAGGAGCACAGAAGGAAACCTAAACAAAAATATTTTTTCATAATACACAATTTTCACTTTAATAATCAAAATCTTTTAAAATCGATTATCTGATAATCCTTATTATTATTCAAAACTATTTGGTATAAAACATGTTTACGTGTAATACGGTAATAAGCAGAAAACAGTAGGACGTCGTTCAACCGATTTGTTTGTTAAAAATAAAAAAATCCTTTATATATCTTATTAAAAATCTTATAAAATCTTTAAAACAACTCTTTAGTTTCCTGGATCATTCTGTATCAAACAAATACAAGATGATATCATGATTAATCAGGAAATCTATATAAATACTTAGCTTGTCTGTCTGGGCGTTTGTTTGTTTGCATTCAATTAACGTCAAAATGGCTAAATCGATCGGGCCCAATCTTGTGTGGGACCTCAGATGACCCCGGGAAAAGTTTATGAATACTCAGAATTACAAAAACTTGATTTTCATAAAATTTTGAAAATCCACGAAATTAAAATTGTAAATCCGCAAAAACTTTTATTTTTGTTTTATCGAAGAGAAAATGATGAAAGATTGAGCAACGATTAAAAGTTGAAATAGAAGAAGGGCGCAAAGCCTAGTTTTCAAAACTTTATTTCTTCATCAAAATAAGATAACATCAGAAATTGTTGGGGTACACAAATATTGTCTTACCTTTTCTATAGTTTGATCTAGGACCAAACATTTAGTTTCTGGATCCGATACTCTCAATCCGTCCCCACTAACATGTAATATACCTCTGCAAATCAGCGTTCAAGACTTATATATTTTACAACCTTTTGACCAACATTACCGACCTATGGGACAATATAGTATGATATCCACTCGCTCTAGAAAGTTTTCATGAAAAAATCGCGCATTTCCATCTTAAAGAGGATGAAATTGCGTACAACTACTTTCTCGAGAAATTAAAAATTTTACTTTAGAAAGACCAACTGTTCTTACAAAACATCCAGAGTGAAGTATTTCCCTGAAATTATATGTAAACAATTGAAAACATAACATAAACCCATGAGGATATAAGTTTTGTTATTGGAGATTAAGAAAAGAGATTAAAATCTCTGGCAAATTTAAACGCACAATAAAGGCAGACAACATTTTGGAATTGGCAGAAACAGGGCTATTTGTTTCTGATTAGCACTGTAGTGTATACAAACAGGAAAGATGTTTTAAAGAGAAAATCCAAATGATGGTTTAAACTCAAGATTTTTAATATTTATTACAAGATTTATAATATTTATTATTGACAAAAAATAACGGAGGGGGGATTATTTATAACCTATATCAAATATAAAAATTTTTAAGGGGGGGATGGTGTTTATTATCATTTACTCGCTCTTGATCCACAAAAACTGGGGTGGTTTAAAATTCAAAACCAGTGATTGATTGACAACACTTATAACATAAACGCTGCCTGATAGGTTTCCGTTTAGTAGTTTTTAACAGTTTCAAGGCTTCCTCACACACCTGCATTCCTCGGGACTCATAAACCTATCCAATCAATCAGGGTTAAATATTTTTTTGAAAATCAACCCCTGCCAACATTTTGGCGTGTTAAATGTTTCAAGGAGTCAGCGGGCCTCGGGGAATTGAGTGAAACTTAGGATAAGAAGTATGATAAGAAGGGGAGGAATTTGACGCTTTTCACTCACCCCTCATTATTTTACAACTAATGAATAAAAAATATCGAAAATATATATATTAAGAAGAGTTAAAACCATTTCTTTGATATATCATTATTAATAAAGGCAGACTTAAAATCTTGACCCATAAAAATAATAATATGGATAATAATGTGGTAGACGATTATATCAATAAAATAATGGGCTGAATTTAGACGGTTGTTAAGACTTTTTAGTCCACGGACTTAAACACCAATGACAGGCATAGATTACAAGAAAAATTTATATTCAAATTAAACATATATATCTGTAATTCTTTATCTAATTTATCCGAAATATATATTATTATTATTATAAAGACGACTTTCGATTTCAATTTTTATTTTTTTCAAGCTTTTAAATAGAATAGATACACAAAACACGGAGACAACGAGAAGCAAGTAATTAATTATTAGGGTCTGTCCTAGTGAACAATTTGTGGACCCCCCCCCCCTCCTATCAATTTTGTACATGACCAAATTAGTATTTATTTAGGGTTAGGTTAAGACACTTTCTGGGCCGAGCGCTGCGGCTAGGACAGGCTAGGGGACCGAGCCCTGCGGCCACGGGTTAGGTTAAGTTAAGACACTTTCTATAAGATCCATGTACAAAATTGATAGGATGGGGGGGGGGGGTCCAGAAATCGTTCTCTAGGAATAGACCAATTATTATTATTTAAATCTTTATTGGGTCATTGCAAATATACAAGAAATTGTTTACAATTATTAATCACAATTGGTTTGCATAGGGCATCATTTAAATATAAAAAAAAATCGTAAATTATTGATAAATGAAATGACACAGTTTTAGCATGTTTCAATCTAAAGTAAATTAAGTAATAGACGACACAGAGGCCGAATCATCAATTTGCATAAAACAAGGCAAATTAGCCAGAGACCTTTCCATGTGTTTAGCGAATAGATAAAAATTATATGATTTACCAAAAAGAAATTGATGGTACTAAAAAATACATTTTCTAGCAAGTAATTAATTATAAAAGCTTCTCTTTAATTACTTGTGTAAATGGTTTAGAATGTTTGCTACCTCTACGTATCCCAAGTATTTAACTTCAAAACTACAAGTGTTTGTTTTCACCGCAGCTTCATCAAGGGCCCAACTTGTCCTAAATATAATCGGAGTTAAAAATGAGTTCAGTGGTTGAAAAAATCTAAATCACTATTTATTACAATAGTTGTATTGTTCACTAAATTTGGACAACTGTTTGGTAATATACTAATAAACGAATTCTAATTATTATTCTAATTACGTTTCTTTCAAATTTAAACAATTAAAATTCAATTAGAAGGCCGAGCGTACGGCCCCTTGGCCTGTCTTTGCCGCGGGGATTGGTACAGAAACTTTCTCAATACTAATCATCAGAACTATTATATATATACCTTGTACTAACTTGAAAGTGACAAAATGAATAATTCAAAACAAATATGAAAAAATACAAGCACAAAATTTAAAGGAGTCGAGTGGTGGGGGTCAGAAAAAAAAATTAGCGAGAAACTAAAGAAATTTATGAAAATCTCAAACCTTGGATCCACATCGTCTTCGTATGATTGTTTCCGTCTAAAGCTAGACCGAAAACTTCGACGAAGTTTATCCATTTCTACTGAAAAATATCTATACAAATTCTCCAATATGATTTAATGAAAATTCATTCAACAAGTTACAAAATAGGAAATACCTATTCCTGTGTAAATAATAAATAGTAAAATTCCGAGAAATGCGCGGTTTCTCCCTTAATGCCGCGTTTGGAACATTTTCTATGAAGAGTCGTCTTTTATCCTTTAATTCACTTGGTCTTGACAATGTCGTTGTCCAATTAACCACACTCGATAAAAGGTGAATTTTCTTTTACAATAATTGGAAAAACTTTCCTTAAAACAAGATTTGTATTGTTTCAAAGGTCAACGAATCTCAGTAAACATGGAACTTCCAATCACACTGCTTCTATGCTTTTTGGTAAAATTTATTATGCAAAATTGATAATCGGCAGTTACATTCACAGTTACTCCAGTTACACACAAAGGATGAGGCTTCAGAGACGACAGTAGGGAATTTCTACTGTTTTATACTTTATATTTACAATTCCCTACAACTGTAAACATACTTCGTTCCTTTGCTACATTGCATAAGCCAATACAAGTTTACATGTATTTAAGGCCAATTAATACCAGCTACGAATGAGGTAGTGATTTTGTGAGTGAGTGAGTGAGTGAGTGAGTGAGTGGGTGAGTGAGGGAGTTAGAGGATGAGTGAGTGAGTGAGTGAGTGAGTGAGTAAGCGAGTGGGTGTGTAAGCGAGTGCGTGAGTGAGTTGGTGATGAGGGGGTGAGAGTGTGTGTGAGTGAGTGAGTGAGAATGAGAATGTGAGTGACAAGGTGAATGTGCGAAGAAGTGATTGATTGAGTACGTAAATTATTGTGCCAGACTTATAACAATTACCAAACTACAATACTAAACTGCAAAAAAATGCTTTTGGTATAATTTCCGAGGACAGCTTTACGACACTTGAAGATTTGTATACACTATACTTCATATATTCAATCTGCAGTATGTTTTCACGGTTAGATGCATTTAACAATAAATGCATAAGCCTTTATTTTTTTTTATTTTCAGGCAGCCATGGTCAGGATTCCAATCCATGCAGACATGATGGAAGATCCAGTCAACATCCTGCCATGGTTCAGGAATGAAACAACTTTCGTAGTTTTTATTACACCACCAAAGTATAAAGAACCTTGGACAGATTTTAAGGTAATTAGATTTTAAAACATTAAAAAAAGGAATACCAACTTAATTTAAGCTGACCCTTTTTTTGTGAATATCACTATTAATAAGCATTGAAAAGGGTTTTTTTGTTATCTATAAAATACTGGCATTTTTAAGAACAAAACAAGTTCATAGTTACTACTGTGAACTAAGAATGTAAGGGAAAGAAATCAGTTAGAGTCATTCATTCGAAGGCTCATACTTCATGGTGCAGGTAACCCTGTGTTCTGAATAAAGATATAGTAACCTAAGTGTAGTTAGAAAAATACAGGTAAACATTGTATAACTATAGTTTCTAAATGGAGTTTCAGGGTTTAATTCCTTACCTTAACCCTGTGTTTTCAATAAAGATTATAGTAACCTAAGTAGTTAGAAAAATACAGGTGTACATTGCATACCTATAGTTTCTTTACAGGGGTTCAGGGTTTAATTCCTTACCTTAACCCTGTGTTTTCAATAAAGATATAGTAACCTAAGTAGTTAGAAAAATACAGGTATACATTGCATATATAACTGTAGTTTCTATACAGGGGTTCAGGGTTAAATTCCTTACCTTAACCCTGTGTTTTCAATAAAGATATAGTAACCTAAGTATGTTTTCAATAAAGATATAGTAACCTAAGTAGTTAGAAAAATACAGGTGTACATTGCATAACTATAGTTTCTATATAGGGGTTCAGGGTTTAATTCCTTACCTTAACCCTGTGTTTTCAATAAAGATATAGTAACCTAAGTAGTTAGAAAAATACAGGTGTACATTGCATAACTATAGTTTCTATATAGGGTTTCAGGGTTTAATTCCTTACCTTAACCCTGTGTTTTCAATAAAGATTATAGTAACCTAAGTAGTCAGAAAAATACAGGTGTACATTGCATAACTATAGTTTCTATACAGGGGTTCAGGGTTTAATTCCTTACCTTAACCCTGAGTTTTCAATAAAGATATAGTAACCTAAGTAGTTAGAAAATACAGGTGTACATTGCATACCTATAGTTTCTTTACAGGGGTTCTGGGTTTAATTCCTTACCTTAACCCTGTGTTTAAAATAAAGATTATAGTAACCTAAGAAAAATACTGGTGTACATTGCATAACTATAGTTTCTATATAGGGGTTCAGGGTTTAATTCCTTACCTTAACCCTGTGTTTTCAATAAAGATTATAGTAACCTAAGTAGTCAGAAAAATACAGGTGTACATTGCATAACTATAGTTTCTATNTTTTTGCGGTGCCAATTTTTTTCCCTGTCTAATTTAGATTGTAAGGCAGAGTTAACTGTTTCATCACTCAGTATTCTTTAATAAAGATTATAGTAACCTAAGTAGTCAGAAAAATACAGGTGTACATTGCATAACTATAGTTTCTATATAGGGGTTCAGGGTTTAATTCCTTACCTTAACCCTGTGTTTTCAATAAAGATTATAGTAACCTAAGTAGTTAGAAAAATACAGGTGTACATTGCATAACTATAGTTTCTATATAGGGGTTCAGGGTTTAATTCCTTACCTTAACTCCTTATTTGAATGGTTTATATAGCTATTATTTGTTAGTATAATTAAAGCGAAATAAACCCAGTGTTGTTGTGAAGTAAATGTTCGTATAAATGAGTTTTTTGATTGGTCTAGTAACTATCTAACGATAGAGAGATGTCAATATTTTATATTATATACCTCACAATAATACTTAATAAAGATTTCTCCTTTAATGCATTTGTATCAGTATTGCATACAATTGTAGAATTATACTTCTTAACAGCCTATAATCCAATATCAATAGTCTGGAGATTTTCCTATAATAGTCGACCTGTGCTCAACTAAGAAATTCTAAACTAAGTTAAGAACATTCCATTGGTTCTACCGAGTTTCCCAAGCAAACTTTTAGGCAAATCGGTTAAGAAGTTTTTAAGTTATTATATAAACAGACATTACTCCTTCATAGCTGATAAAAAGCTTTTAAGGTGCTCCACGCCCATATTACATTTCAACTTTTAATTGTAGATCTATCTTTTCTGTGAACAATATAAGACAATAACAAAGAAAAGTTCGCGGATTTGATAATCATTTTTCGCGCATTTTCAAAATTTTCCAAAAATAAAAAAGCACCCTTTACCCGATTGGGCTATTTTTGTCTAATATATATGGTGGGGGGGTACATCTCCCCCTATCATTTTTCCCTTAGGGGAGTGTGATACATGTTTCTAGTCCAACTTTTAAAGGCCATGCTCATTAAAAAAAATATTAGACCTTTAACTTTAGTGGTCATTTGTGTAAGGGAGAATTTTTAAAAAGTTCAAAAATTATGTCCTTATTTTAATTTGGACAAATACTAACATATGACATGCATTTTATGATATCCATTTTTCAAGGGCTTTTCAAATATATAGGTTTTAGCCCTGTTATTAACCAATTCTGATTTTTTTTGAAACACCGACCCGTAGTTTGACCGTCCTACATCCTACCCTTTGCATCGAAAGAAAAAAAAATTATAGTAAAATTTGTTAACAACTATTATGTTGAAAAAGTGAAGAAGTTTTAGCGTTCTAATGTAAGCCGTTTTTAAGATATTCATAAGAAACCACGGGGGGCGTGGAAAACACCCCCCCCCCCCCCNTGTGGACACGATCGGTTTAGCCGTTTTGACGTTAATTGGATACAGACAAACAAACAAACAGACACCCAGACAAGCTAAATTTATATATAAAAGGTGAAACTCTGTATCTTTTTACCTGTACTCTGTAGGTGACACTGGATCCTCCAGATGCGGATGAATCTGATGTTTTTATCCCTAAAGTAGGAACTCCACCAGCGCCCCGCCAAATGGAGTTTCATAACCTATATCCGGGCAGAGAATATAATGTCAGGTACAAGCTACAACTTAGTAAGTTTTAAAATTTTTTTGGGCTTTTGAACTTTAAAGAGCTGTTCCACAAAAATCTTGGTCTAAAACACGTTGTTGCACTTTGAAAAGTTGTAATCCTGAGCTATAGAGAAGAAAAAAACTATCGGTTTAAAAGGATCGTTTTGGTTCGTTTTTCTTCTATTTTCTCTTAGCATTAAAATGTTAGATAGTTTACATTTTGAACCTTTTTACAAAAGCAATGTAGAACCTTAAAATCTTTATTGATAATGCTAATAGCGTATCCGAACTATATTGTTAATGCTCATAGCGTATCCGAACTATATTGTTAATGCTCATAGCGTATCCAAAATGTAATGATAATGCTAATAGCGTATCCAAACTATATTGTTAATGCTAATAGCGTATCCAAACTATATTGTTAATGCTAATAGCGTATCCAAACTATATTGTTAATGCTAATAGCGTATGCATGCTTTGTCTTGTTAATTTATGATCCGTTCAGTTTCTCAGTTAAAGGAACTAAAAGCCTAATTTCATGTGACACTCCATGCAAAAGTTGCAAAGCCTGATTTACAACGGTACACTTGAAACCCTAATTGGATAAAAAATTATGTGTAAGAAAACGGCTTCTTCCTGACTAAAAAGTGTTTAATTCTTCTCCACTGCTTCTTATATTTAAGAAATGTTTTCTTAATTCGCAAAGAACCCGCAAAAAAATTAAATAAAACAAAATCAGATATCTAATCAGAAATTAAGCTTTAATTGTACCGTTGAGATCTTTGACATCTTTGTACCTACAGCTAGTCACGTTTAAAAAACTGAAAAGGTCAAAAAATGACAAACCTGTGGACTGAATGGTTTAAATGGAAAATACGCTTTAACATTAACAACTAAGATTTTTAAGTTAATTTTTGATATCTTTTCGAAATTTGTCATAAAACATTTTGGATTTTGTTCCCGATCTTATTAAGCATCTTTAACAATCTTCATCATAAAAGATATATAGAACATAACAATCACACATCGGTAACAACAAACAATACAGTTTTGTTGGCAACAATTGTTAACGACCTAAATATTATGAACGGTAAAAATATTGTAAACAATCATTTCTAAAAGAAATCTGAATGAACAATTTTATAAAGTGAGGTTTTGGTGTCCAATTGTAGCTAGTTAGTAGTTATGAAAGTGCTATACTCATATTTGATATTTTCAGAAAACATTGAAAAGTGTGATTCATTAACTTTTAAACTATAATTTGCCATAAAATTTATGAATTGATTTATCAACTACAAGATATTGAAAAATTGAGAAAAAATTACTGAAAACTGGAATTATTCCAATTTATGTACAGGGTTACTAACAATAGCTAAGACTTTAAAGACAACTGTTTGTAATTTATTTAGACTTTTTCTTGCAATCTTGGTTCCGTACAACTGAAAACTGGTTTCCTTCTTTCTCAATTAAGTTATAAGTAGATAATTTATTCTCATTCTTTGTGGGTAACCCTGTATCATGATTATAAAAACCATTGAATCCAATTTGTTTTCTATTAGATTATCTTCTACTTATAGCGTTAAATACGCACATAATACACGAAAAACCAGTATTTTCTGCATGCAAATCTGTACATTAGCAATATGCATTTTTTTAAATGATTCTTTCTGTTAAGATTTTCTTATTTATAGTCTAAGAAATCGTAACTTAAAGCTATATGATGTGATCCAATATAATGTAGGAAACCCTGTGTGTTACATTATACCATTCACCATCTGTATTTGAAAATGATTTGTTAAGTGTTGAATTGGTGTTTGAATATGAGACCTCTGAACCTGGGAGCAGTATTTTGTACCGAATACTCCCCCTATCTCCTACAAATGTGACTGTCAGCACGGACATCTTTCCCGACGACTTGACTCCTGCAAACGCCTCTTTTACAGTCACGTGGGACGGACCAGACTCAGACTCTGATTTTGATAGGTTCCTTGTAAAGCTGCCAAAACAGAATATAACACAACTTGTTGGTAAATATTTAATAATGATTTTAACCTTATTCTGGTTGGGCTATTTTTGTAAGGCCCTCCCCCCTCCCCCCGCATGATTTTGCACTTAGAGTTGTGTTGCATGTCAAAAGTCCAATTGTCTAGGCCAGATTAAAAGACTAGCCTTTTATTTCAATGATAAGGATACTACATATGGAAGCTTTAAAAAATTAAAAAATACACGATAAAAATGTATGAAATGACTTTGCCACATGGTTTCACATATATTTTTCAAGGGCTTTTGAAATTCATGTAAATTTTAGAGCTGTAGCTAAACAAATTAAAAAGTAAAGAAGTTTGAGCACTAATTGTATAGCATAGAGTGAAACTTTTTAGATTTTTGGAGAAAACCAAGGGGGAGGAATTGAAATCCCCCCACCCCATAAGAACCAACCGGGTAGAATAGGGTTAAAATGCTGAACTTATTAACTGTTATAGACACATTTTTGTTTGATTAGAATTAGGTGAACCCCAAGTAGCAGTGTTCAATAAAAGTATTACGCCTGGAGAAACATTCCAGGTAAAAGTAATTTTTGCACTTTTTTATACATTAGAAAATGGAAAATGCGTCATATGTCCATGGGAAGTAAAGAACAAATCAAACATCGAAAGTTTTCCTAAAGAAGAGAACACGCTTTGCCACAAACTCTGATTTTCTTATCATTAATCTTTGCAACCCAATGTAGACATTTCAAACTATACAGTCTGTTAGATCAAATGATCTAAGTTTGAAATATCAAAGGTTTACAACATCAATTTAAAGGATATATGAAAGGAAAAGTTGAGTTCGTGGCAAAAACTTATAAATTCCTTTCATTTAAAACAAATACATAATTTGACTTACTTTCTTGTTAACTTATAGTAATGAATACTATAAATGCAGCTCAGCTATTTGATTATTTCCAATTGCAGTTTCTCTGCAAAGTAGCTTACGGATTCAGCCGGCTTATAAAAAGTCTCATTAACTTTAAAGACAGGGTCGACTTTGAAGTGTCGCAACACCTTGGGCTTTGATTTTACCGCTCTAACTCACTTTTGCTTTTCTTTAGCATTTTACATGAACAGTTTAGCGTTATAAACACATTATGTTAGCTTTGATTAATTGGCAAAATTCTGATCACTGATCACTGGCATTTTATTGTAAACCAATGATTATTGAATCCATGAAGAGAATAGATAAGTATAGAGTGGAATTAGTCGAACACAGTGTAAAACCACCATTTTGTTAATTGTTGTACTGTTTTCATACTGAAGGTGTACGTCCCACTTTTGCGCTATATAACCTTTTGGACCCTGGAACATCTTCTCATAGAAAAAACTGTCTTGAAAATTATTTCATATTCTCTAAATTAATTATCTTACAACCTGTCCCATGCATTCTCAAGTTTATTTCAACATAAACCTCACTTTACATAAGCTTTACTGTATTATTGTAAAGTATTTAATCATTTAGGTATTTGTTAAAACAGTTTCTGGGACTGTTAGCAGTTGGCCAGCTGTATTTAATTTTACAATTCCACCTCTACCTCCACAGGAAAAAGATTTAATAAGAAGTAGTTGAGCTCATTACGTATAGTTTAACCAATTCTTTGAAAAGTTCATGATTAAATTCTCAAAAAATTTAACCGGCACACTATGTTCCTCTCTCATGATTTAACTCATTCTTTCAATTCAATTAATGTAAAGAGAGAAGAAGCTTAACCACATCGACGTAGTTGAACCACTTCTCTTAAACTTGAACCGGGGCGCGAATGGTTCAATTAAATATAATCACTATTCAACTATTTTTAATTGAATCTGCCAATACAGGATATTAATATGGATTTCAGGCTCAATGATGAAGGAAAAAGAGGTTTGTTTTTTGCCTGGCTGCCTCTCCAGGGCACATGGATCAAAAGAAAAACAAACGTAAGTAAAACTACTAGGACCAAGGTTGTATTATAAGGTTGGCCACTCTCGATGCGATCCTCTGGTTTTAGAGGCGAGAGTACATTGGAGTGCATCGAGAGTAACCCTGCTTATTATACAATCTTGACTTAGACTTTGTGTTTATTGACATGCAAACGGGATTTAGGGGATGCTAATTTTTTTATCTTAGGTCAAAATAAGATTTCGAGCCCGCTCACAAAAATTACAACGTTTAATGAAAAATTAAAAATGCATGTTTTTTGTCAGTTCTGATGGATTTCAAAAACGAGGTAAAAATTGTATTTTGAGCGCGCGGCTTAACTTGCGAATTTCGCAAATTTTTGACGCTTCTTGTTAGGCTTTACAGTTTTGTTGTAAAAATTCCGTTGTCAGCGGTCAAAATTGCAATATAGGACACGCGCCAAAATCGAAAAATTATATTTAAAAGATTTAACGATATTGGTATTTTGTTTTACTGAAAAGTGGAATATTGACACCACACACGCATTTATTTCTCTTCTTTCAACGAAACATTTTGGTCTCATTCTCATATTCAGAAAACTTCAGGGAAAAAATCCCCAGAACTCCAAATATTTACTAATAATAAAAAGCTTTTTACCCCCCCCCCCTTGGAAAAGTAAATTTAAAGAAAATTTTTCAAACTAAAAACAATAAAACAATTCACTGTCAATGAAAACCAAAAACCATTATTTTTGGCATCAAATTTTGGCCTAAACAAATTGATTTTGAGACAAATTTGGTAAACATTTTGGAACAACTGACACTGGTGAAAAATAAAAACTATTTTTTTTCACTCTCTCCATTCCAATCTTTATAAACTTGACATATTGCAAATAAAATGTCAATTCAGGTGACTGCAAATTTTGATGAGTGGTTTATTCATCCCTTGTGGAGATATATGCCAAGCTCTATACAGGATAGTTACAAGGTGTAGTAATTGGCCTGTCGCAAAGAATAATAATAATAATAATAATAATAATAATAATAATAATAATAATAATAATAATAATAATAATAATAATAATAATAATAATAATAATAATAATAATAATGATAATAATAATAATGAAATAAAAATAATAATATTTATAATAATAATAAGAAAAAAATTATCACAGAAAGTATGTATTGGATAATAAGAGAAGACGACATTTTTTGCTATCTTTGGCTCACCGACAAAATGTGTAGAATTTGCGTAGATTTTCTGATGAGCAATCTTTAATTAGCAAAGTCTTTGTCATGTCGTATGTCCGTAAAACTGTGGAATAGGAAGACGACAGTTAAACAATTTAATGTTTTTATAAAGCAACAAGTTTGACAAGTAGATTTTAAATCTATACTTATTATATGAAATGGGTCTGTTTACACTGCACAATTGCTGCGTTTTAATTGCATATTATAAAGCCATTCTTAAATCTAACAGTCGTCTTCCTTTTTAACAGTGTTTTGTGACTAACTACGAAAGTTTTGTTTAATATTTTCAAAATTCAAAACAGTTCCTATCAAATTTCTCTCTCTGAAATCTGGAATATTTAGCCTGCGTTAGATCAGGGGGTCAGCTGCAATCACAAAAGAAACAAAACTTGTATTATGTCTATAGTATAGGTTTCTACCGGAATCTCGTTTTACGGTTTCCGTTTGGAAATGATCTGTTTTTTTCCATTTTCATTATGAGAAAGGTTTTATTATTCCAAAATTCTGGATTATTTCAGGAACTATTTTTTCCGGAATTTTTGTTGCGAAATGCCGGAAACTATTTTAAGGTTAAAGACGACTTTCAAGTTTTCAATCAATTAACTATTCCTGTTTATTAATAAAATCACTCTAATATAATTTTTAGGTCGAGTATTTCGAGTTTCAATGTCTATGCAATGAGACAGCAGATGTGTCAAAAGAAGATGTTTCCAAAATTTCAGAAATTATTGTAAAAGTATAAACTTTTTTCTTTTATTTCCAGAATTAAATTTTCTTTTACTTGTTTTTTCCCTTTGGCCATAAATATATTTTACCTTGCTATTTGATAACTATTTTAAAATTTTGTCCTTTGCCTAGCAGCAAGTATAAACAGCCATTTCATGTTTTTTAAAATAGCATAGAAAAATTAGTCTTCGCCACAAACTCTACTTTTCTAATCCCTATCTTTGCAACCTAATGTCGTAGATATTTGATATTTCAAACTATGACTTCTAGTTGATCAAATAATCTAAGTTTGAAGATATGGGGATTAAAAAATCTGAGTTTGTGGCAAAGGCTTTATTCCTTTGTATATTATTTTACCTCTAAACTGGCAATTTGTTATTTAAAATTGTTCATTGCTAAACTTTTTATGAAAAAACAGAATGCCATTTTCCCTAAAGTATTTTAATCATGTAAAATTTGGATTAAGTACGTGTTTTCGAGTTGCAAGGGGGAAGGGGCGAAAAATCGTTTTTTTTTGTACAATTAAAAATGGAATAAAATCATAAATGGGAAAGAATTTTAAGGGACAAGCTAGTTTAAGACAATATTGAAAAATCATCTTGTAGTTTTTGTATTAATTTAACCCTTACTTTTTATTAGGATATTCAGGTTGAAGTGAATCGACTACAGCCTGATAGAAGATTCAGCTTTTTTGTATCTGTTAAAGCAATCAGTAATGGGATAGAATCTAAGACCTCACAAACCTCAGAATGTGCTCAACCTCGGACTTGACTCTTCAGTAAATCTCATTTTTAACTTTACTAGGCTTTTAGGGCGCTTCGCGCCCATCTTCTATTTAAAATCTATTTTAAAACAAAGAAGAAAAAAAATTTGCGGATTAAAAAAAAAAAATTCGCGGATTTTCAAGAATTTATTTTTTTTTACAAATTTAAAAACCTTTAAAACACATTTTTCATAAACCTTTCCTGTGGTCACTTGATGTCCCACAAAAAATTAGGGCCCGACCGGTTCAGCCGTTTTGACGTTTATTGGACACAAACAAACAAACACCCAAACAGACAAACCAAATTTATATATAGATTAAGTCAAGAGAAGATAATCCAAAAATTCTTTTTATATAATAAACCTCTTCAATCATCTATATATAAACTTTGCTTGTTTGTTTGTTTTTAACAGATAAACATCAAAACGGCTGAACCGATCGGCCCAAATTTTGTGTGGGACCTCGCATGACCCATGAAATAAGGTTTATGGCTGGTAGAAATTGAAATATTTTGCCCTGAAAAAATGTATAAATTGACTTCCAAAGTTGAAGGCCAAAATTTTTATAGAAAAGGGGGCGTGAAGCGCCCTAAAAGCCTATCATAAATATATTTCTTAAGAATTTTAACTACTGAGGATCGTCATGATAGGCGTGAAACATTATGTTTAGTATAATTCTTTTTTAATAAAAAATGTGAAGTTAAAAACTGAAATATACATATATATACCTCACCACCTTTTTGTATTAAAATTCTGAAACAATTAAATATGTCAATGATTGACAAAAAGGATCGACATCATTCAATTTTGAAAATTTTCCGCCATAACCTAAATAGTTTGTCATTTATATATATACATATATATATATATAACATATATAAATAAATATAAACCAAATGGGCTGAAAGTTTTTGTTTATCCCAACATAATTTTTTAAGAAAAGTAGTTTCTTGCACAATATTGACAGGGTTACATAAGAACTGTCATTGATTGATAAATCTAAAATAGTTTATCACTTATTTATCTTAAACTAGAGCAGAAACTTTTAAGATAACTTGTCACACGTTGATATTTTTCAAAGATAAGGCATTCTTTTATATTTTCTCACATTTTAAAATCGTAATCGTAAAGAAAGGGTGCACGGCCCACAACGGTACCCTTGCAGATTTAAATAAACTTAACAGTCGAATAGTTTTTGATAAAAAATAATTATTACATTTAACAGAAAAAAAAACTATTTCCCCGTATTAGATTTTAAAATGAATATAAGACATTTTATGTAGGTTTATTTTTTTAACAAAAGTCAGAAAACAATTTTTATTTTATTTTCTACAAATTTATTCCCAAATGATATACTCTCCGGATAAAACTTCAGAGAAAAGCACAAAATCCCCTGTATTGTCTTATTTACAACATTTTCTTCAATAATAAAGAAAGTGGAAATTTATGTGAAAAATGGTAAAACATTGATAAAAGTAAATTGAATGTAAAACTTCTCTTTGAGATATTAAAGATGGATGAATTATTTATCCAAGAGGCAAACTTTTAAGTGGAAGTTCTAAGGGACTGTTTTCGAAATTTAGAACGACATTCAGTTCAAATTCAGTACATGACAGATTCATACATTTAAACCTTTGTTTGATCAAATATGCATTAGATATCTTTGTATTTCTGACTGAAAAGTGATAATTTTCAATTATGATTACTCTCTGAAATTGAATTGCTGATTTATGGTGCAGAGGTAATGAAGGAAATTGACAAATTTGTTTAAAGAACATTGATGTTCATCAGGAATGTAACTCTTTGAAAGGAGTGCTCCTTAAAAATTTGTCGATTGTCCCTTTAAACTTTATGTTAGAACTTTATGTTTAAAATTTATGTTTGAATTTTATGTTTAAACTTTATGTTTGAACTTTATGTTTAAACTTTATGTTTGAACTTTATGTTTAAGCATAAAGTTTAAACTTAATTTAAACTTTATGCTTGAACTTTATGCTTAAACTTTATGTTTCAACATTAAGTTTAAACTTTATGTTCAAATTTATGTTTCAACTTTATGTTTCAACTTTAAGTTTCAACTTTATGTTTAAATTTGTGTTTAAACTTTATGTTTAAACTTGAAGTTTAAACTTTATGTTTAAACTTTATGTTTGAACTTAAGTTTAAACTTTATGCTTAAACTTGATTTTTAAACTTTATGTTTAAACTTTAAAACTTTATGTTCAATCTTATGTTCAAATGGACAGTTTATGAATTGTTGTAAAGTTCCTGCAAAACTATATCCTGGATACTGCCATGTGGCGGGTTTGTTCTTCTCTATCCAGAAGTGAGATATCCAGGCTAATCCATATCCCTGATACAGTGGTACCCATAAAACTTTGGAATGGGAAGACGACATTTAAGCAATTTTTCAGTATAATTGATGTTTCTTTATAGCAATAAGTTTATCATTAGCTTAAAAATCATCTTTTAAAGTCAAATGGGTCTGTGTACACTGTACAGTGTACACAGTTGATGTATTTCTTATTTATTGGACTATTTAATATCATGACTTGACTTCCTATTCCACAGATTTTTGCGCTCATGGTATAATGAATCTCAAGATCGAGACTCAATTTATAATTTTGAATGATCCAATTAATGCAAAAAATCATTTCCTTGCATTGGTTGATACTGTAAAACTGCTGCTTTAAACATCATTAAATACATGTAAGGATGTTTTAATCCATGTGTGTAGAGAAAGCCTTATGTAGTCATTTTCCTAACTTGATCAAATACATTGAAAAAAATACATTTTGAAATCTTGATTAGGTTTGCAAATTTTATTTTAAAAAGCTTTAATAATCTGTTAATAAAACACAAGCTTAGAATCCCAGCTTTGCTATACAGGAGCATCTATTTATATACTTTACTTGTCTGTTTGATTGCTTGTTTATATTCAATAAATGTCCATATGGCTGAACCAATCGCGCTCAAATTTTTTGCGATCCCAGGGAGGGTTTATGAATGATCAAAATAAAAAATTTGTGTTAAAAAGTTTTTAATTTTTGTAAAATTTTGAAAATTTTTGAAAATTCGCGATTTTATTATGAAATCCGCGAACTTTTTTTTTAACAATGTGCACAAAGAGAACATGTTTACAGTTGAAATAGAGGATGGGCGCGAAGAGCCCTAAAAGCCTTGCATATATAAATAAAATATAGACGACTTTTAAGTAAAAATGCTTTGCTCCCTAGCAAGTGTTTTCAAATTGCATGTTTAAAAGTAAACGAAGAGAAGCTGTTAATTGTTAATTCATGATTTCTCTTTGTTTACTTGTTTAAAAGCTTGGTAGAAATCTCTATAGAAATAGAAAGTCGTCTTTATTGTATTGATATATACGACGACGACTATAGATAAAAATACCTGGAACAAGCCTAGTATAGGTGTTGTAATATTAAACCCTGATGTTGTCATATTAGCCAAAAGACAAAGAACATTCAAACTGGCGATAAAATGGAATAGTTTGGTTCTAAACAAAATAATGAAACTTTCGTTTTTTTAAAGAAGCTGCCATTTCGACCATATTTGTCCATAGAGCAGCATGTCCGATTCACAAAGGCACCTTTAAAATGATTTGTCTGAAAATAAATGAATGTGATTCCCCGTATTTAAAAAAAATTAAATGATTATTTTCAATTGTGGTTTCTCTCTTAAAGTGGCATGAGCTGAAAACTTTGGAATATCCTTAATCCCGATCAGTTAATCAATCTGGAGATTAATAACAAGAGGATAACAAGCATTATTTAATCTGGAGATCAAGAGGAGATCAAGCATTAATCTCGATATCCACAATTCTAAAGTTTTCAGCTCAGGTAAGATTAAGACCGCTTAAATCGGAATTTCCATTCTGTATGAAGGGTCACTTAAAACTACATCTATCTATATTTACTTTGGGTGCCTTTGTTTCAGATTCTAACCCACTTTCTTGTTATGTTTTAAGGTTTAATTTTTTCTCCAAAACTTTGCAAATATAGTCTGAGGCTTCTCAGCAAAACACCATGCAGTTTGATATAACTGCCTGTATCTCACGCAGGACACAGTCAACTGTCTTATTCATTTTTTTCAATTTCTTTTGATTACATACATAAAAAGAGTTATTTATCAAATTTTTCATGAATTTTTTTGTTAAATTATTTGAAAGGTATTTGTTAGTTTTATTATTTTTCCTTGGTTGTTGATGCTCACACACATAGTATGGATAAAAACTCCAGAAATCCTGGGGGAGAAATCTCATTTAAAAAAATAATCTTTTTCTATATAATAAAGCTCTTTTCTCAATCAATCATGTGTTGAATACTTCTTTTATAATGAATATATATATATATATATATGTTTGTAAAACAATAGGCGGGTGTCGGTGATTGACAGGCTGTTAGTCTGGTTGATTAATTTGCAATTGATTAATTGATTGGCGAACTTGTTGATTTGTAGATTAGGCTCCTTAAGCAAATAAAATTAAATGACAATGTATTACTCAAGGAGAATTGAATAGAAGGAGGGGGTGATAGGGTTTCCGTACACTTTGCTGTGACGTTTTTGGACTGCTGATGAACTAGTTTTTGCGTAACAACAATAACAAAGGCAGCCGATCTAATGTAAACAAACATGAGTTAGTATACGGTGAATCTTCATCTAACGCCAAAGATGCGCCAGATGTCTGTTTATCATTTGTGTTATTGTTTACAATCTTTATTATTATTGTTACGCAAAAACTAGTCCAAAAACGTCACAGCAAAGTGTACCGAAACCCTATCGCCCCTTCTTCTATTCAATTCTCCTTGGTATTACTATAGTTGAATATTTAATAGTATAACTTACTAGTTGTCCGTGTCGGATTAAAAAGGAGTGTCGTGGACTAAACATTAATTCTAAATTTGTTACTGGGGTACTTAAGTAACTCAAGGGTTCTGCCTCAGTCTCTGACAAAGGAAAACAACAAACAGTAAAACATTTTAACCAGTCAATACTCAAATACGTAAATAATTATGCAATTTATAACAATTCTACTCACTCTATCCCCGTAGTAAATTTGAATTCGAACAGGACCTGCCCAGTTTGTACCGGCCTGCCAGATAACAGCGTGTACTGACCCGATCCTATGGTACAGTACGTCGCACTAACCAGAATAACATACGACAGGGGTCAATTTTCTTGGCATAGTCCCGTGCGAGGGCTAACTATGACAACTCCAATGGCGCGTTCAGACTTTTTACAGTACCCGGCCTAATCCTAGGCCTATTTGACCGACCCCACTGGCTTAGTCCACCGTGTACTTAAACAACCGGGTTTTTATTTTCAGAAGTAAGATCCAAATGTTTAGACTGGATCCATTAAATCCTATGATCCCTAATCACTCCTTAATTACTCAGATAAACCAAAATAGTAAGATATCTAATCAAACATTCAAAACTTTTAATACGCCAATATTTATTTTACAAAAACTGTATTTTTTCTAGGTTTGAAATACATCTGTTTATCTGTTTATTTGCAACCTTGTGTCCGAGTTAAGGAGCCTTAGAACCTAATCACCGACGCCCTGTTTATGTTTCAACAACATTATTTAAAAAATGTATTTTATAATCTAGTTTAGGTCCAGCCCCAGAGAATTGTTACAAATAGTTTTATCGTTTTTCTTTAAACATTTGCAAATGGATAAACAATAAACATAAGTATTTTTACCTGAAATGGTTTTCCTGTAACATCCAATCCTTTACCATGACTGTACTTGCCACAATCAGTTTTCACATGGCCACTCTTATAATAAAAAAATTCTTAAAGGGATATAATATTAAGTGAAATTTATTTACATGACAAGAGCGATTCACAACAGTACCTTGGTAACAATGGAGGAAATGTCAGACTTAAGCGCTATTCAAATCAAAATAAAACGGCGATTAATTCAGGTTTAAAGGGTACCGGTGTGAATCAAGCTTGCAACTCTTTAAGCAGAAATTGCAACGTCGACAGTTCCTTTGAAAAATCCTGTTAAACTTACTGGGGAGAAGACTAGTCCAGGAATATAACTGATAAAGAGCCCAGCTACACAGATACATACAATATTTGTCATCATTGCAAGATTGGGAAATGACAAAAATAGAATTCAATAAATTATAAACTAATTGGAATTTAAAATCAAATCAGACTTTTAGGGATGCCTACTATTCACTCAACCAAACTTAAAGTGAATTAACTATATAAAGTAAAGTTTTATAGTTTTCATTGTTCCATCTCTAAAACCTATTGAAGGCAAAATAAAGACTAATTTAAAAAAGAATAACATTAGATTCCTAATATGTGAAACTAAAGAGAAAAAGTAATGATAATATTTAGAAAATAAAAGCCTTAAATTATTTAAGGAAAATGTAGACGGTCAATTATTTGTTTAGATTTACAAACTTTAGAAGAAGAAAAAAATAAAAAGCATAAATAAAAAGAAAATGAAGACTAACTTAGTTTCAAGAAAAGAAAGATCAGAAAATTAAACGGGTTATAAAAGATAGAAAAAGGGTAAAAGTCAAAATATTATCCTATGGTGCTGTACAGTAGGACTTTTGTATTTTTCATTTTTTCTAAAAAAATGAAAAATACTAAAATATCTAACACGCAAAAGTAACAATCAAAAAGATAAGAATTGTCTTCTTTTTATACTTTTATAAAATCATATGCCCTCCATCCTTGCACGCACACATGCACACTACTGACTACATGATGTATAATACACTTTTCACGATAAACATTCACTGTTAATTTTGTTAATTTGCAATCCACTATAGAAAGTGTTCTGTATAGTGTGGATGGTACGGGATGTATCCTATGGACCCTAGACTTGTTTGTATTCTTTGAACTCTTCTATCTCCAGTCAGCCCTTATCACAACAGAAGCAGAAAGACAACTGTAGAGTAGATTGAGATTCTAAGAAACTGAAAACAACCTTGAATCTGATTTTATACATGAGTTAAAGGGACCGTTCACTTATTTGGGTAATGTCAGGGTAAACTAAACAGTCTATTAGCTGTTGATTGGTATTAGTCTTACTTTTTAATGACAACTGTGGCTCATATTCTTAACGAACAATCGTCTTTTTCTCCGTCCACAGTTGTCTTTGAAAAATAAGACTAATACCAACCAACAGCGATTTGGCTGTTTAGTTTACCCTGAAATTACTCAAATAAGTGAACAGTACTTTAAATGCTTTAAACATATCATAATAGAAATAAAATTTTATTCGAGCGGGAACTTTTGATATATGGATTCCTATAATCAAGGGCGTTTACAAAAATAAATCTAGGGGGAGGGCGAAATCTGCGCGAAGCGCAATAATTTTTTTTTGCATCCCCCCAGGAGCTCCCAGCGGGGGGGCAAAATTGAACTGTAAATTCAAAACATTTGGCTTCTTAGATATCAGGCATAAGTATAAAATACTAAAAGGTACACATACAGTCTAACTACCTTGCATGTACTATACTTTATCTCTCCTTCAAACAAAACTAGGAGAAAAAAGCATTGTTTCTAAAAAATCGACATTTTATTATACTGTTATTTTAGTAATAATTCGTATTTAAACTAGAGATAGTAAAAGACATTTTTGAAAATGAAAAACTCAACTTAAACTTAAATTCTATGATATGAAAAAAAGGACAGAGGTCCAGAAAATAATTATGACTTGTAAAAGTTTCTGTTTTGAAATAAAGTAGGAGTACAATTTTAATCTATATAATAATGCTCTTCATTCATTTATATGTTTGCTATGGCTGGCCAAACGGCTGAATCAATTATGCTGAATTTTAGTGAGGAAACTCATGGGTACCCTTGGGGATGACAAAAGCTATATAAATCATAAGTTTTTGTTTTAATTCGTTCTTTAAAACTCCACGGTCAACGCCTGGCACTTAATCTAGTTTGTAATAAAAAGAAAGATTACAAAACGGCGGTGCAATGAATAAAGTAAATTAAATCCAAATTAAAAAAAGCAAAAAATAGTCTTTTACTACCTCCCAAACTCAAGCCTTTGTGGCTTGGCATTTAAAAATAATTGTTTTACTTCGCTATTCCTGATAGGACCCATCTGAATAGGATTCTAGATAAATTTTTCATTCGGACTTCTGTCATGGTGGCTCTGGTCCACATATACAATCTTCTTATAGTGCACTGAATGAACAGCAAACTAATTTTTCATGTTCTTCACACTTGAGTTTAAGATTTGAAAAGTGTGAAATCTCTGAATTCTAGGGGGGGTGGCTACGCCCCCCTCTTTACAGGTCTAGGGGGCAGTCCCCCTTGCCCCCCCCCCCTGTATACGCCCTTGCCTATAATCACGAATCACGAATCTGGGCACTTTTGAATCCAGGGCTTCATGGGATATTGAATAAAGATTAAAGGAATTGAGTCGTTGTCACAAACTAAAATTGTCTAACCCCTATATCTTAGTAAATTGATGGTACAAACCTTTGATATTTCAAACTTAGTTTATTTGATGTACCAGCCTTCATAGTTTGAAACATCTAAGGTATATTGGGTTGTAAAGATATAGGGATTAGAAAATCTGAGTTTGTGGCAAAGACAACAAATCTTTTATCTGGATCAGGCTCATTGATCTCCATATCTACAATTCAAGAGTTTGCATCTACGTTCAACGGTTTTAATGTCTTTTTTATAATTCAGTATTTTTTGAAAACAATTTAAATATTTGTTAATAAACATTATCTCAAAACTAGTTTTGCTGTCTGAATTCTTTTTTCCATTCCCTTAAGCTCTCATAACAAGGAGTAATTTAAAGATACTCCGAGATGCAACTCTAGAAATGGAGAATCACTAGAAATGACTTACCTAGTCCCTTTCAAGTTTCAGGACCATTTTATTATTCTTCAATTATCACAGATCAAAGACTAATTTAAAGTTTAAAAGAAAGTTCCATAAAATTAAAATAAATTAATATATATATTATATTTACATTTTTTTCTTCATAAATCAAGACAATTCTTGATCTGCACCATAGATAAAACAGATGCACTTGTATTATTAATAACATTGTTCCAATAATAACAATATTTAATCGAAATGTTCTTCGTCGAATGCGTGATTTATCTTCTTGAACTCAACTATGTGCGCGAACACGAACTCTAGAATGTGCTTTGCATCCTGAAAATATATAGTTTAAAAGTCAAGGCCGAAAAATATTGACAATGCAATTTAAAGTTGACACTTGAGTGCAAAAATGGGGGTAGGGTTTCCAGCGAACGAAACGTTTCGCGAAAAAATGCAAAAATTTTTGTTCGTATATCGCAAACTTTAAGCGAATTTTTTTTCTCGCAAAAACCATATGCATTTTTTATTCTGATTTTTTTCGAGAAATTTTCACATTTTTTCGCGAGCGAACGAAATGCGAAAATTTTCGTTGGAAACCCTTTATGAGGGGAGGGAAGTAAAAACAATAATATTTAAATATTTCTAATATTGTCTTCCTTATTAGAATTTTAGAAATTGAAAAAATTCGAACTCTTTTATATTTGTTCGAATGAAGCCAGATAAAAATCAGACTACATTTTTGAAATACAATAAACACGTAAAGCACGTCGATAAAAGAAAGAAGGAAGGGTAAGTTTATTGTGCATCCCCAACCTCCTGTGCTAGTTTGTGATTAGGTGTGGGGTGGAGGCTTCGTTACCTGTGCCCCCCATAGAGTAGTTTTTTAGGAATGGGTAAAGGGGAGGTATGTTACCGGTGCCCCCTGGAATACTTTAGGAATGGATAAAGGGGGGTGGGGTTTGTTACCAGTGCCCCCTGGAGTAGTTTATGAATTGGTAAAGTGGGGTATGTTACCTATGCCCCTGGAGTAGTTTAGGAATGGGTAAAGGGGGGGTATGTTACCGGTGCCCCCTGGAGTAGTTTAGGAATGGGTAAAGGGGGGTATGTTACCTATGCCCCTGGAGTAGTTTAGGAATGGGTAAAGGGGGGTATGTTACCTATGCCCCTGGAGTAGTTTAGGAATGGGTAAAGGGGGTGTATGTTACCGGTGCCCCCTGGAGTAGTTTAGGAATGGGTAAAGGGGGGGTATGTTACCACCTGTGCCCCCTGTAATTAGGAAGGGGGATCCTGTGCCCCGCTGTGAACGTTTAGGATTAGGAAGGGGGAAGGATACCACAGGGGGATGGGGTAGTTTAAGATTAGGTATCGAGGGGGGGGGGGGTTGTTACCTGTGCCCCCTGTGGAAGTTTAGGGTTAACTCCCAATATCTCTCCACACTCTCTGATATAGTATTCAAGATCTTCTTCGCCACATTTATTTGTCACCTAGTACAATCTTAGTTATCTAATATCTTGGTTTGTTTTCATGTATTTGAGGTTTTATATTTCAGGTTCTCATGTTATCATGCATTTATGTTTTCATGTATTTGAGGTTTTATATTTCAGGTTCTCATGTTATCATGCATTTATGTTTTCATGTATTTGAGGTTTTATATTTCAGGTTCTCATGTTATCATGCATTTATGTTTTCATGTATTTGAGGTTTTATGTTTCAGGTTCTCATGTTATCATGCAATTATGTTTTATACTGTTTTATGCTTTCAAGTTTATGTCTATTTGTGTAGAGCTAAAAACTTTAGAATAGGATATCCTTAATCCTGATCGCTTAATCTCAATATCCACTGTGGAAACTTATGATCTTCTTAATCCTCTCTTTTGGTACACTCTGATAAATATAATTTGAGGCACTTTAGTGGATGAAGATGAATAAAAAAAGGAGATCAAGCATTGATCTCAATGGCGTCAAACCTTATAGAAATCCAACGTATGGACCCGCTACGTATAGCAACATGGCGTATTTTCCGGGAGAACATTTTTTATATTTTTGAAAAATTGAATTATTAGTGTAAAGTAAATATAATTTTCATAAAATCCTTTTATTTAAATGGTAAAACGAAATTTTATGAAATCATAATAGCATTACTGGAGAACTTTTTTTTATACTTTAAAGAATTTTTTCCAAACCTAAAATGTACGTATTAAACTATTTTGCTCCTTTAATGTCTAGATTATGTTAAAAAAAATAGAAATTATGATAATGATAATGATAAGCTACAATATTTTACAAAAACGTTTAATTTTTCAAAAATATAAAAAAAATGTTCTCCCGGAAAATACGCCATGTTGCTCTACGTAGCGGGTCCATACTTTGGATTTCTATAAGGTTTGACGACCAAAATTCTAAAGTTTTCAGCTCAGGTTTATGTTTTATAGTTAAATGCTTTCATCGTCAGTTAAATTTTATTCTTTCATGTTCTCATGTGTTCATGTTTTTATGTTTTCATGTCTTCATGGTCTCATGATTCACATGTCTTCATGTTCTCATTTCTTTATATGTCTTCATGTTCTCATGTTCTCATGTTCTCATGCTCTCATGATCGCATGTCTTCAAGTTTTCTTTTTCTCATATTTAATGTCTTCAAGTCGTTTCAAAATGTTAATAATTTCTTTCTTTTTCATTTTTTATCTATTTTAAGTTACACAATTTGTTGCTCTTATTTTTTTATGAATATCAAGTTTATTGAAAATATTTCTCCTAATCAATCCTATCAATGATTTATTGATCAAATATTTGACATTTTAATCATTGCATGAGCAGCTTTAGCATCCTATCCTGTAATCTATAAATAGAAATTGGATTTTTCACTTCATATTGATAACAAATTTTTTGTATAAAAAATGTAATTCTTAACAACATTTGCACAGTGAACACTAAGGCTGAGCGTCGTAAATTAAAAAATACAGGTCTTCATGGAACGATTCACATATTTTTTTCTCGTAAATTTTTGTCGTAAACAATTTCAAAAAATTAAATTGTGTCACCACGCAAGCAAATTCTGGATGTTGAATTGGTAAAGTCTTTTGTTTACCTGGGCCAGCCTGGATTTATCACTGGAGAAAGCTTCATCAAGATCAAATAGTTCCAGCTGGGGATCTGGAAGGTTCCGGAATTGTGGCGGGAAAACTGCCGCCTGAATATGATTGTTGGCGCTTTAAAATGTCGTCTTTGTGTTAATTTTTTGATAATTTGGTAGGACCATTAGAATTTAGTGTGAGTTCAATAAATAATATTTAAAAAAATCTGATTTTCTAAATTTTTATTTATTTTATTTATTGATTTTAATGAAACTTAAAACTCACAGAAGATGAGACTCTAGCAACAGCTGTACGGGATTTATTCAGCCTTAGTTCTTCTTACATTCAAGGTTCACTTGAGCTTTGAAGTTTTTAAACTAAGGTGTTAGGCGATGATATCAATATAATGAAGACGACTTTCGACCTTAACATTGATTTATATCAAGCTTTAAAGCAGTATGGATACATAAAAACAAGGAAACAGATAAACTGTCCATTAAAACAGTTGTAAATTTGTGATTTAAAAAAACCTTGTTAACAATAAAAACTCAAATAAACCCCTCATATTGATATTACCGCCTACTACCGTATGTTAAAGGATAACACTTTTTAAAAAAAACTTCAGATTGGTATATCTAAAAGTTTCAGGTCATCATTAAACGTTCATACTTTGTGGTTAAGCATATCACATACTTAATCAAAATCCCCAAGAAAACAAAATATATATTTAAAAGACTTTTCAAATACCTGTAAAGGAGGCAGGGGTGTTTCAAACTGTGGGGTGATGAGCTTTAGAGGATCATGTTTTACACCTAGATCCCTAACAAGTCATCACATTACTATATTATGAATACACATTACAAATTAGCAGTGTTTTTCATTACATTTTTTCTGAATTTAACAAAAAGCACAATTATAAATTTGAAACGTACAAAATCTAGCTTTTTGAAGTTCTTTACCATTTAAAACTTTGCCTGATATTGACTTAATCAATTGAATGTGTTTTTCTCGTTAAAAATTGATCTTTTTTATGGTGGTTTTTATGTAAATGTTTTATGCTATAGAGAAAATAGCGGGGGAAATTAAGGGAAATTAACAAAATTAAAAACATTTTAAACAAAATCTTAAACAATTTCGATGAGATAAAGTTTAACGGTTAGCGTTGCATGAGTATCAGGCATGTCCCTGTAAGAAAATTATACATAAAAACTCTTACTTGAAGGTATTGATGACTTTTGGAACCATGCTGGTGTGAACAGAATAGAGATTGGATTTAAAGAGTCTAGTGTAGTCAGAGGGAATATCCTCACTTTCCTGATTATAAAAATATATTCATTTTTTTCATCTAATTCATCTAATTTTTAGCACAAAAAAAGGCTATCCTTGTATGTGGGGATTTATAATTAGAACAATATAATGAGCCTGTGTCTGGTATCCTGGTATAATCTTATATAATTAACCTGTGTCTGGTATCCTGAATCCTGATATAATCTTTTATAATTAGCCTGTGTCTGGTATCCTGATATAATCTCATATAATTAACCTGTGTCTGGTATCCTGATATAATCTATCTGAATCTCATATATTTAACCTGTGTCTCGTTTCCTGATATAATCTGAATCTAATAAAATTAACCTGTGTCTGGTATATTGATATAATCTGAATCTGATATAATTAACCTGTGTCTGGTATCCTGATATAATCTGAATCTGATATAATTAACCTGTGTCTGGTATCCTGATATACTCTTATATAATTAACCTGTGTCTGGTATCCTGATATAATCTGAATCTGATATAATTACTGAATCTAATAAAATTAACCTGTGTCTGGTATATTGATATAATCTGAATCTGATATAATTAACCTGTGTCTGGTATCCTGATATACTCTTATATAATTAACCTGTGTCTGGTATCCTGATATAATCTGAATCTGATATAATTAGCCTGTGTCTGGTATCGTGATATAATCTGAATCTGATATAATTAGCCTGTGTCTGGTATCGTGATATAATCTGAATCTGATATAATTAGCCTGTGTCTGGTATGCAGGATATAATCTGATATAACTAACCTGAAGGCAGACCCTAGGTGTATCAGCTAACCAGGCTGTGTCTGGTATCATGATATAATCTGATATCTCTGGATCCTCGGCGTCCATCTTGTTCAGCTCAAATTCATCTGAGGTTAGGAAACTGAACACTATATCCTTCACCCTAAACATTCAGGGTTTTAAGACAAGCAAGAAAAAGTCTGAATCAAGTTTTACAAAAGTAAAAAAATATGCAAAATTATGTAAAAATAGGCCGCATTGATCATTACTCATTACAAACATATTTATTATTTTAGTTATTACGTTATCTTCGAATTCTTCAACACATGAAATATTCATTCTTGTATTTAACAGTTCTTGTAAAATCGGTACTTTCCATGCATGCAGCATTTTCCAATGGGACATCAAAATATTTTATTTGTTTCTTCACTAGCATTTTACCAAGATCAGATAGATTACAAACAATTATTTGCATTGAGGTTAATATTCATTAGTTTTCATACACTCTAAGAAATGTCAAATTTCATCAAATAAAAAATTGTTGAAGCACCGGAGCCCAATTAAAATTTTCAAACGTTCATAAATGATAAATTTATCTTTCAAAATTTAAACCATACTTCTACTAATTGTTGAATTTGCCTCCGTTGCTCCTACAAATTTTGTTAGTAAAATAATTTTAGAAATAAGAAACAAAATTTTTTGTAAATGGTATAATGGAAATTTTAACTGTAGTCCCAACTACGTTGAAAACTCACCCCCCTTTCCAGAACTAAATTTTCAAGTACACATTACTTACTAATGGAATATAACAGGTAACAAAGTAAAAAAAAAAGAATAAAGAGCCAGAAAAAGTTTGAACAGGTACTTTGAAATTTCTTTTAGTGTACTAAACGATGTGTTTGAACTATTAAAATTAACCGAAGCCAGTTCGAACTCTGATAATTGGTTAATACTGATTTCAACTATTTAGCTGAATATACTGCTGCTCACTTCTGATTGGTTAAAGAGAGTGTCTGGCTAGAAATGTTTGTTGAGCTAAGAGTGCTGAATTCTAAGGACATTTAAAAAAATCATTTTGCGCTATTATTTAGCAATCATACACCGTAGTTCAAACGTCTTACAGGTCTCCAGTGATTTCTGAAAAAAATTCTACAATACCATGCACTATCAGCTCAACTAATATGTCTCAGCCAGCCACTCCCTTTGAAGACAACTTGTATTAAAGTGTAAACACATTGTTGTTTTACAGGGCCAAATCAAAATACACTTAACTGCTAATATATAAATAACTAATTGTGCTGAAAGGCATTTGTTTGGGTTTAATAACGGATACAGTGCACCTTAGAATAATTATTCCAATTTTATTTAATTTTATGTATGACCAATACTAGTTTGGGCTTGTTAAACATTATTCGTGTTGAAACATATTTACACAACTTGACAAATATAAGAATTAATCATTATGATTAAATATTAAATATCATCATAAGTACGTTAAACGATATTTCTAAAAAATAAATATTCGTTCAACAACAAAGTCAATGTATAAGGTTACCCACAAAGAATGAGCCTGTAAAGACGACTTAAAACTTAAAAGATATACGATCCCAAGGTTCAATTAAGTCTCCTGGCTTGGATAACGTCTTGAAATGCAATTAAAGACACAATTAGTTTAGTTTCCGGGAATCATGAATATGAGGAAACAGACAATAAAAATTTCATACAGTCCTCTCTGGAAACCCTTTTCTTTTAAAACGACGGTAGACTGTAGTGTAGACGTAATAACAATGCAAGTGGGCCCCGATATAAATTTACAATAATTTACAATTTATATAAATTTAATATTATTTACAATGGTGTTTTGTAAATCTTTGTCTCTTCATGGATTATTGTGGTTTACTTGTTTTTCTTTTTGAAAACTGTTATGGACTCTCTATACTGTGACTTGCAGAGTTATTTAACTCAAGGATACTTAAATATAAAGGCTTAAAGGGATTTACTTCAAGGATACTTAAAAATAAAGGTTTAAAGGGATTTACCTCAAGGTTACTTAAATATAAAGGTTAAAAAGGGAAATACCTCAAGGTTACTTAAATATAAAGGTTTTAAGGGATTTACCTCAAGGTTACTTAAATATAAAGGTTTAAAGGGATTTACCTCAAGGTTACTTAAATATAAAGGTTTAAAGGGATTTACCCCAAAGTTACTTAAATATAAAGGTTTAAAGGCATTTACCTCAAGGTTACTTAAATATAAAGGTTTAAAGGGATTTACCTCAAGGTTACTTAAATATAAAGGTTTAAAGGGATTTACCTCAAAATTACTTAAATATAATGGTTTAAAGGGAATTACCTCAAGGTTACTTAAATATAAAGGTTTAAAGGGATTTACCTCAAGGTTACTTAAATATAAAGGTTAAAAAGGGAAATACCTCAAGGTTACTTAAATATAAAGGTTTTAAGGGTATTATTATAATTATTATCATTATTATCATTATTATTATTAGCACATACTTAGAGTTGTCCTCCTTGTCTATGAACTGATCTGTCAGCATAGCTGAGCTCCCGAGCACAGCGAGTTTGCCACCCCCTCCTCCTGGATGACTGTACAGGGCTAGTACTGGCCGCTCCTGACAAAACCGGTTTTAAAACCAACAAAAAACAAATGTTTTGTTCATTCCTTTTCAAAACTGTTCATGAACATATAGGATAAGACTTCAGAGACAAATGCAAAGAATTCATTTAACATACAGGGTTACCCCACCCCACAAAGGATGAGACTGTAAAGACGACATTAAACTCTTTAAATCTGACGAGTCCAAGGTTGAATTAAGTCTTCTACCTTGAATACAATCTTTAAATTAGCTTATATATTTATTAGGAAAAACAGACAGACGTTTACGATTGCAGAGAATAATAAATTATAAGGAAACAGACAGTATACATTCTGTACAGTCGTCTCTGAAGTCTCATCCTTTGTGGGTAACCCTGTATACTCCCTGCCGCTGAATTTTTTTGAAATATAGAAGTCAGACAAACAAATTCAAAATCATGATATATAAATAGTTGCAGGTCGTCATTAAAGTTTCATCTTTTGTTTGTGACCAATTGTCCTTTATTTCTTAGATTATAAACAACCTCTAGTTATGATAACAATAAATTCTTCGAATGCTTTATTTACTTGTGGAAATGAGACGCTGCCTGTTGAGAGGACGGCAACAGCGGGCCGAGCCACATTTAATGTTGCTCCGTATGCGTATAGAAAGGATATTGCCTAAAATATAAGTTCCTCAAATATGTTTCGATATTTTCACAATTTAAATGAGCATCACTTCATTTAAGCAAAGTAATTGAGTCTTTGTCACAAAATCAAATTTTATAATTCCTTTATCTTTGCTGCCTGATGGTGTAAACCATTGATAAACTTAATTTACAGAATTCATAGTTTGAAATATATAAGGTCAAAAACAATGGGTTGTAAAGATGTAGGGATTAGAAAATCAGACTTCGTGGCAAAAACTTATAAAATCTTCAAATCTGATATGATGAATGAATGTATAGCTGATATTGAAAATTCACCTTTTAAAGAGTTAAAATTTAATCAATTCGGTCTTTTTTAATTTATCTTTTATCTACACTTTTCCTTCAATATCTCTTATACAAACTAACTTTAGTACTAGACAGCCAATACAATAATTGCTTTTCCTAATTATTTAATTAATCAATTAATTACTTAATTATTCAATTATAATATTAATTAAGTTAACCTGAGAGTCTAAATTATCATCAAGCATCAGACCCGACAATCCCTAAATATAAAAATACAATAATTATATATATAAAAATTAATGTCTATACAGTGATTACTAGAAAACTCTGAAATAAGAAGAGGGGGGTTTATAGCAATAATTAAGATACAAAGCAAATACTTTTACTAAACCCTTATTCAATCACTAATTAAGTGAAATGGGACGGTTTACATTTCAGAGTTATTCTCCACATGCATATGGGTAAGTCTTTCATGACCACAAGTTGAAGCTGCTGAAATTCGTTAAAAGGCATTTGATTTGATCTAATAAGTTAAAGAAGAGAAAGGAAATTAGTCTTTGTCACGAACTCAAATTTTCTAATCCATATTTCAAACTTAAATTATTTGACCCAACAGAATTCACAGTTAGAAATAAATAAATTTTATGATTTTGGGTTGCAAAAACATTGAAATGAGAAAATCAGAGTTTGTGGCAAAGACTTAATTCCTTTTAAAAAGGTTAGAAACAAAAACAAACAAAAAACAGTCGTAAAACATCGCACATGAACTTGCCACAAACTCTGTTTTTTAAACCTGTATATCTTAGCATCTCGATTTCATAAGCCTTTAAAATTGCAAACTTTTAATTCTGTTAGATCAAATTATGAAAGTTTTAAATATCAAAGAATTAATTTTTCCAGGTTGTAAAGATTTGTAAATTTGAGTTTGTGGCAAGGATTTAGTTCCTTTCTGAGTTTATAAAGTTTAATTACATGAGTAAAATTCAAATTGTACTGTTTACATGCATTCTTACAGTTTATTACTATACACCAAAATGCGGGCCTTACTAGATTAAAAATTCCTGGGATATTTGTTTTAATAAAAAAAGTTTAATTTTTTACTTAAAAAGTTACTTTGGTCTCAATGTAAAAAGTCAGATTTTTTCCAATTAATGTCAACTCATCTTAAATATTCAAAATATTTATAAGAAGTATGGAGGGGGGGGGGGCGTGTGATAAGAGGTTAGATGACGAGGTGAAGCCCTTTGAGGGGGGGGGGGGGATTTTAGTTCCACATATTCAAATATAAAGATGAAAAGGGAGGAAGTGTGCAGGTGCATATATTCTACTTCTGGTTTACCTTTCCAGCTATTTCAGTTACAGCTCGGTTTAAAACTCCATTTTGTATCAAACATTCCTAAACATAGAAAATATTAAATAACAGTCGTTTTACATTTAAATCACTATATTATGTACATGGAACACTCACAATCTTTAAACACATGATTTTATCCGTATTTTCAATATGAAAGAATTGAACTCCCATGCGCGGATTTATTAAATGTTACAAAGAAGGATGTTGACAGAAATAAATATTTTTATCAAAAAAATCCAGAAAACGACATCTTCTTCTTGTACAAAGAATTCCAATTTGATTTTGAATAACATTGACTGGCCCTTAGATTTTAAAATGTTAAGGCAGCGCTCATATTTTCAATATGTAAATATTTTGACATTGCATTAGTTTTTCTTCGGCAAAATGATAATTTTTCATTTTTTTTTTAATATTGAACTATGTACTGTTTTATTTGTCATAAAGGTTATAGTTGTTCTACAGTTGTCGGTGTTAAACCAAAACAATGAAGACGACTTTTCTGTTTAAATTTCGATTGTTAACAAGCTTTTTTCAAAATAGTAAGTTGACAAGTTTTTAATTGACATCTTCTCTTCGTTTCCCTGTTTACGTGATTCCATGCTGTAGAAATCAAAATTGAAATCGAAAATCGTCTTCATAATATTGTAGAATATATATATATATATTCTACAATATTTATTCTATTAATTTAGATTTTTTTAATTGATTACCTTCGGATGAAAGTATTTGTAGAAGTTTGTTCTGACAACAGAATCATTGTTCACCATTATCCCACATTCCTCAAGCAGAAAGTTTATGTTTGTTCCAAACCTGAGAAAATTGAAGGATTAAATGTCGTCTTTTATTTACGCGGAGAATTGTTTACCTTTTTTCCCCTCCATCTCCCAACATTACTAGAATAGAGCCTCCTAACTATATCAAAACCAAACTTAAATTTAATTTTATTTTCGGGCGGGTGGAGGGGGGGGGGGGATAACGTATATTAGTTTAAAGAAGTTTTTTGTTTTGATATCATTTTTTGTCCTTATATTTTTCATATATATTAGATCTTTTTGTTGGGTTTCGTTATTAGAATAATCCATTTTTTGTTGTTGTTGGATTTTGTTTGGGAATATTGATGCTATAAACAATTGAAAAGGCAGACAACATTTTTTAAAACCCAGGACAACATTTTTTTCTTGTTGTTATCAAAACAATACTGATAAAATATGTTTCAAGAATAAATATTGCATAAAAAGTTCTTTCGCGAGACAACATTTCAGATTCTAAAAAAACATCATTTTTGGGACACCCTGTTAGCAACAAGGTTGCCCACAAAGGAAGAGACTATAAAATAACTTTTAAAATATTAAGATTTAAAGGTTAAATTAAGTCTAATCTGAACCAATAGAAAAAGTATGGCGGTAACATCTATCTTTCTATCCATCTCATTATCCAATCAAAGTTATGAATCCTTAAATCGGCGCTATCAGTAAATGGAAATATTTACTGAAACTATAGTGAGGGAATAATAAATAAAAGGGATCAGACAGAATAAATTCCGAACAGTCGTCTCTTAAGTCTCATTCTTTGTGGGAATTCCTGTATATTTGTATTGGTTTAGTTGCCTCGAGATATTTCTTGAGATTGTTAATTTCTGTTTCAGTGAACTTATCTCTAGGACCAGCTAACACGAACACACGAGCCTAAATATATAGTTTTTTTAAATTTTATATATATAAGTAAATATATTATATATTATTTATTATAAATAATTCCACTGCTATAACGAACCCCCCAACATCTTGTGCGTGACCTCGGCTAATCAAAATTATACTACTTTATCTCGAGTTACTTATTATCTTAAATGTTTAAAATCAAATTTAATTATAAAATCATTTTAACCCTATAGTTTGTCCAGCTAGCTGATAACTTTAAAGTATCTGTTCTAAAATTCTTTAAAAATGTTCGTAATTTTAGAATGCTTTTGAGTTTTTAATATTGAGAACGAAAGTTAATGTTTTTCCAAAAAGTGAGGTATTTGTTTTCCATTTGACAAGGGAAAGTAAAAACTAAATTTACGTTGAACTTTCCCGGTTTTGCAGGGTTCGTGTAGAAAAATAAAAATAATGTATTCAGGAATCGATTGGAAAATTATAATGCCATTCTAACTCAAACTTTGTTCAACATCTATTAATAGATTAAAGGGACTGTATGAGTAAATTCAAGTGAACCTTAATGCAAAATAGCAATAGCCCCATTCTAAACAGTACCCTTTCAAGAGACAGTTCATTTTTTTCGGTAATTTCATGGTAAACTAAACAGTCTATTAGCTGTTAATTGGTATTAGTCTTACTTTTCAAAGACAACTGTGGCCGGAGAAAAAGCCGATTTTTTGTTCAGACTTCGAGAGGACAGGGACGGTCCCATTACTATACTAGACGTTTTTCAGCAACAAAAACCCAAACAAATTAAACTTTGTCATATTTCAATGCCATTTTGTGTTGCTATTATATACTAAAATATGAAACTTTTCATATTTGAGTATAAGCAATAAATTTACATGTTTCTATTAAAAACTTGTAAACTGTATAAACTAAGACGACGTTCTCTACGACACTCAATTAATCATTATACGCAATTTCGGTTTGTAGATTCAACTCTGCGTTCGATGTAAATATAATATACACCTTGCTTGCAATGATGCATTTGTGAGTAATCCGAAATAGTTTATTTTTAAAACTTTCGAAGTGGGATGTGAGAACCACTCTCTATTCGGCTCTTTCTACACATACTTAGCTTCTGTCAGTACTCCAAGTCTAACTTGTCCAACCGCTGATATCTGTTATTGCCAGATAGGTCGAAAATCCTAGTTCCGCCCCCCCCCCCCGGTTGATGACACCCCTCAATCAGTTGTCTAGTTTATTAGACTTATTATCTTAAATGTTCAAAATTAAATCAAATTATAAAATCATGTTAACCCTAAGTTTGTCAAGCTAGTTAGTTAACCCCGAAATTACCCAAATAAATGAACGATCCCTTTAACCCTAAGTTTGTCAAGCTAGTTAGTTTACCCCTAAATTACCCAAATAAGCAAACGATCCCTTTAAAAGCTTTGTCTGATAAAGAATGTATTTTGTTTACAATTATGAAAATTGATTCTTTAAGATTGTGGTTTTCTGTTTTCACCTTCGGGAATTATCAGAATTAAACACTTTTAAAAATATTGAAAAACGAAAATATCTTCCACATTAATGTTTAGAAAAAGATTTCAAGGACACCGTTGTAAATCAGAGAAAGCTGCAAACAAAGTTATTTAATGCCCCCCCTGCACCCCCAATGGTTAAACCTGTGTGAGCATGTTCATAGATATTTAATGCCCTTGCACCCCCAATGGTTTAAACTGTGTGAGCATGTTCATTGTTCATAGATATTTAATGCCCCCTCCCTTGCACCCCCAATGGTTTGACCTGTGTGAGCATGTTCATAGATATTGTTGATTCTCCTAAATTATTCTGAACCTTCCAGTTCGCTTTCAGCTTACGTTGAAGAGACCTAAAGAAATGAAATTTTTAAAACCTAAAAAAATTAAAATGAAGAAAATGACAGAACACAATTTTGAAATTCCAAGAATTGGAAGGATAAAGAATGTTGCGCTGATTAATTAAAGACACCTTTTTTGACATCAAAAAGTTGACATATACTGAGATATCCTGAGATATCCTGAGATATCCTGAGATATCCTGAGAAAGACGAACAATGACAAAAGATGACAAATTTTCAGCCCTTGTTAATCAGCTTAGTAATGTTTCTAATCACTAATGGCACTTTTAATCTGAGACAATTAAATTAAAATACAGACCTGTAGTTCTCTGCAAGCTTAAACATTGGATCCTTGGTTTGATCGAAGATGATCAAATTTGATTTTCCTCCTGATGTTCCGCCGTTACCTGAACAATTTTCACATTAATCCAAAGTCTGAAGGTTACAAAAATTGATGAAAATTTTGCCAATTTCCTCTTAACAACTAAAGTTCAAACAAGTGTCTTCAGATGTTCCTGTTAAGCGCTTCACAAAATGATCAGTAAGCTAGTGAGTTAAAATCAAAGGCCAAAGTGTTGTGACCATTCAAAGTTGACCCAGTCTTATCAGTCTTAGCAGGATAAACAGGGTTACCCACAAAGGATTAGACTTCAGAGACGATTGTACGGAATTTGCACTATCTGTCTCATTATTTTTATAACTCTCTGCAACTGTAAATATGTTTCGCTCAGCTTGTCCATTCATATAATAAGCCATTAAAATACTAAATTCAAAGGAGAAGATTTTATTCAACTTAGAAATCGTCCTATTTTGTAAGTTTTAAATCCTCGTTGGTTAATTAATAGTGTCGAGCAAATGCACATATTCAAAGTAAACTTGTGGCGTCCAGCTTTGTGTATCAATCAATACATTTTTGAGAAATGTCTTGCCTGAAAGAATATTTGAAAAATAAAGGAATGTTTACAGTTTTCAGGCGTATATTTAATCTTTAAATTATTACGTAAAATGAACTTTATATCTGATATCAGGCATTATAATTTTAGAGAAACAAAGCGCCGAGAACCCTCAAAAGAATTGATTACTTGCAGCTCAAACTTTAAGGTTAAATCCCATAAACCTCTGATTTTTTTTAACTTTGACATTTTGACTTAACAGAATTTAAAGGTCTACGACATTTAGTTTTAAAAAAAGTGTTAGAAAAATAATGTTTGCGGCGATGAATTCAGTTATTTTGGGCGGGTTTCCATGGTTCATAGAAAATATTAGGTATTAAACTATTACCGTAGTTCATACTGCTTGGCTGGCTTGTTAGGCTCCCTAAAGAGAGATCGGTAGATACAGGAGCCATTTTAAAATCTGAAAAAATTTGTATATCAGAGAGATTTTTTATTCTAATTGCGAACACAATCGTTAAGGGAGATCAAACTGTTCACAATCTGTTAATATGTTAAAATTTTATGAAATATATTTTCTATGTGATTGAAAATTGTGTGTGATTTAATTGATTGATAAAAGATTGCGAAGAAATGCAATGTATTCAGTCAGTCAGTATATTGGAACAGTAGACGAGATTTCAACCCTTATTTAAAAAGATTCACAAAGTTAACACTGAAAACATTTAATGATCAAGTCACTTTCGTAATGATAAGAAGCCGAAAAAATGGATATATCTTTACAATTATTAGTTCCTATGCAATAAAACCTATGCTTTTCTTTACCTTCTGTTAAATGTGAAATAAAAATTTGATGAGCTACGAGGTTGCAAACTTTCTATGACCAGTAATTTCGCTTCAAATGAAATTCTTCCTCATTTTGAGATTCAAGTGTTGTAAAATAATTTTGAAAAATGTTTGAAATTAATTTAAAATTTGATAATCGTTCTTGTGTTCGTTTGTTGAAAAGTTTAATTAATAAAACTGAATCAACACAATTTTAATTAAAAAAAAACTTTGGTAAAATATAAATCTAAAATAAGCTTATTCTATCAGAAACAAATTCCATTAAAAATTATGTACTTCTATTTCATCAAACACTTATAAATTGGCCATTATAGTATTTTTTTATTGTCACCTTTGACCAATGACCATAATGTAAAACTAAATAAAATGGAAATTTTACGCAAGCTTTTTATGTATTATAATCATAACTCTTCTTTTTGAAGTCTTATAAATAGATTGACTCATAAGTAAAATGTGCACACTGCACAATGCACAATTCACAATAAATGAACTATTACATAATGCGCAATTATTGTGTTTCATGCAAAATTGGACTATTAAAATCATAACTTAAGTCTAATTTAATTCAAACAGTTTTTGGGTGCAAAGATTAATAGGGGTTATGGGAACGCAAAATTGCACAGATATTCTTTTATCTGGCCTTGAAATAGGCGTGTATTCGTTATTGACACAATTTCTGGAATGTTTAACAGTTAATCTCGGTTGTAGTGTTATTGGACGCAAAGCTATGCAGTCTGACGTATAGATCTGACGTTATATACACAATTTCTGAAATGTTTTCTATTTCATTAATTCTCTTCCACAGAATGTTAACACCAAAACTATTTGCTTCCTGCTTTCTACTTTCCATGGTAAAGCTTAATAGATAGATAGATAAATAGATAAGTAGGCAAACTTACGTTCAGAGATAGATAGATTGGGAGAAAGGTATAGATAGATAGATAGATAGATAGACAGTGGCGCAACTAGGGGGGGGGCGAACCAAGATCCCCCCTTTCAACCATGGCAATATTAATTATGACTTTTGATTATGGGCGATTTAAAACAAATTTGGGGCTGTGGACAACTTTTTACTAAATTTTGCTAATTAAGTAAAGAAATACCTACATTTTTCTTTAGCACTTCGCGCAACATTTCAAATAGAATTTCCTGCTATTTTCTAATAATTCATACTTAATTTATCCTCTGTCTCAAAACACTATATAAATTCACAATACTCATGTTACTTCTTATGGATATTACAAAATATTAAATTTAAGGGTACAGAAAACTGACGAACAAGAAATTGTATACATACATATTTTGATGGAAGAATATCAAGAAAAAATTAGGATTATATCTCGGCCAAACAGGAATCTTTTAGGCTTGCATAGAAGTAAAGGGCTATAGCCCCCTTACTGGAAAATAAGGGTAGAGGGACTACTATATACGGATTATGGACAGATGAACGAACTTGCAGGAACGACTTACTGCAGACTACACAAACCAACAACAAAGAGACTATATAGTGGACAAAAAGGACTAGTGACTCATAACGTTCATTTTACAGCTGTTGAAAGTATACCTTTTTTAAATACAAGAACAAGCCATAGTTTATTAAAAAATCGATTTGCATTAAACACTGAGACAAATCTGCATGCAACAACTGAAAACTTAAGTTTTTTCGACCTCAAATCCTTAAAAAAAACCAAATTTTATTTTGAAAAGATTTTCTACACCATCTATCTATCTATCGACAGATATATAGATATAAAGATAAATACATATAGATAAATATATAGATAGATATATAGATAGTAGATATAGCTATGATAAATAGATAGATCAATGGATAGATAGATAGATAAATATGTAGATAGATAGATAAATAGATAGATAGATAGATAGTTAGATAGATAGATAGATACTTTGAAAAGTTTATTTGGTGCATGGAAAGCTATTATGGCACCAGACAACCCGGAAAACCCGTGAAACTGAAAAGCTTCATGAATACTTCCTTCAAACTCTAATTTTTTAATCCTAGTAAATTGATATTTTGTAGGAAATCTATATTTTAAACTTTAAATTCTGCTAATTCTGAAATTTTAAAATCTACATCATTAGAGAGGATTTTGATAAGATAAGAGTATTAATAGAATGGACACTGGTCACATTAAACTAAAGTAATCAAAATCTTATCAGATTTTAAATGGTTTCCGTCATATTTACTCTTTTTAAAGGGATTGTTCGCGAAAAATGAAAGGGGTATAGGCTTCATGCGATAAAAAAGCGCTTTTGATCGCTACTTATCTTACTTCTATCTGTTGCGTCTCTAAGGAGAAAATTGTTAAAGACTTCTCATACCGAATAACTTAGCGGCCATACAAATTGAGAAAATTGCAACATACTACTTAGACCGTAAAAAATCAATTTAATTTCAAACAAATCATTTAGATATTACAACCTATAGTCATCGATTATGTTTCGCCACATTTGTATATAGTTTATATTTTATAATATTTTATTTTTTTAGAAAACGTTTTCAACGGATTTCGAAAATTGTGAGTGGTGTGCGGCATTCTTAGAAAGTTGCGCAAGCGACAAGAGAAATAAACAAATCAATTTAAAAATATTATAAAATATAAACTATATACAAATGTGGCGAAAGATAATCGATGACTATAGGTTGTAATATCTGAATTATTTGTTTGAACTTAAATTGATTTTTTTACGGTCTAAGTCGTAGTTGCAATTTTCTGAATTTGTATGGGCGCTAAGTTATTCGGTATGAGACATCTTTAACAATTTTCTCCTTATAGACGCAACAGATAGAAGTAAGATTAGTAGCGATCAAAAGCGCTTTTTTATCGCACTAAGCCTATACCCCTTTTCATTTTTCGCGAACACTCCCTTTAAAGAGCTATTAAAAAGAAAAAAATTATTTGAATTTATAATTTGTAATCGAAACTTTTTGCTGATTAAAATTAATAATCAGAATACTGCGGATCACAACAGTAAACACCGAAAGCTTAGTTTTGAGTGAAAGAGGAGCTATATAAGAAGTCACAAAAACGCACCAGTAATTTAGCACAAATTTGTTCTTCTCCAATGGGGCCCTAGAACACTTCCTTGAGGAACACAACGCAAGTTATAATTTTTTTTGTTGAAAAAAACTCCATTTATACAAAAATATTGAGTTCTGTTAACAAGATAATTTTTAAACCTGGTGTTGGCCACATTTTTGAAACCATAATGAATTAGTTGTTTTAAAAGTTTGTCTAAATCACAACAATCAAAAGCTTTCTTTAAGTCTAGGAATATTCCAAGAGTAAATTCTGGTTTAGATTTATTAAGGTTTTCATAGATTTTATTTATTAAGTGCAAAAGTGGTTGATTTGTGTTATGTTTAGGTCTAAATCCATATTGGTGCTTATTAAGATATCTGAACATCTGTATTGCAGCAATTTTTTCAAGTAGCTTACTCAAAGATGGAAGAATACTTATAGGTCTGTAATTATTAAACTTATCTTTTTCGTCTGCTTTAAAGATGGGAATAATTTTTGCACATTTATACTCGCTAGGGATGTATCCTGTTTTAAAAGAAAGATTGAATAAATGTGCTATAGTATAATCGATACAATCAATAACTACTACAGTAGTTTGGTAGAAATATTGTCTTTTCCTGAGCTGTTCTTTGGGTATTAGCTTACTTACCGTTTCTAAAATAATATCCGGTATATTTGCAAAAACAAAATGTTCATTTATGGACTCATCTAAATAATCTAAAAATAATAAAATTAAAGATTTGTATATTATCTCTATTTTTAAAAAAAGAGATTGTTTTTTCTCATTAATATTTTCTTCTTTATTACAGTATATACTTTTATAAAATACTAGAGAAAATTTACAGGGTGTTTTTAGAAAAATACAAGGATAAATGACGTCATTCAAATCTTTAAAATCATGAACAGAAGTTAGAATTTAAGCTTCTGATAAGTTTTTAACTGTTTATCAAATGATCGGACAAACAAAGTGTTGAATGATAGAAATAAGACTAAATAACATTTCTAACAGTCATATTTCAGGTGTGAAGTATTATCCTTTGTGAGTAAGTCTGTATATATTGATCCATATTAGTATATTTTAGAAATCTCAGCTTATAGCAATAAAACAGTTGTTTTTCATTAGTTTGTATTCTACACCTGTATCTTAGCTTACAGGGTGTCCTGAATAATAAAGGGTGTCCCATAGTTTACTGCAATATAGGTTCAAGTGTAATACAGGGTGTTTTAAAAATTTTCCTAGAATAAAATCGTGATATTGTCAGATCATCAGATTCAGCCAGCTTATTTAAAAAGTTTTATGATTCAGAATGGGTATCTTTTACTGGAACACCTTGTATATATAAATATATAAGATAAGAAGGAAGATGAATAGAGCTAAGGTATTATTACCAGTAGTTTGTGAATAGGTATTCAGAAGAAAATATCTATGCATATTCTGCAAACTTAGCTGAAAGGGACTGTAAATGTAATTTCAAGTGATCACAGAGTGTCATGTACAATTCACAATGGCTCTCTTAAAAGAGAGAGCATGTACGATTCACAAGAGAGCGAGAAATAGAGAAAGAGAGA